GAGCTTTCCGTGACGAGAGTGAGTATCGAATGTCCAGAGCCAACCACGACCCGTGTGATGCGTCACACCAAACTCACATCGGTGATTTGGCGACAGCGGCTTCTGCGACTGGAATGGGATGATGAATGAGAGGCAGTGCATTACTTTGTACAGTGCAATATGGAGACAGCGCAGGCGCATATCAGGGCTAAAGAGGAACCCTACCCTGTCTCGCCGCAAGATTGGCTTCACACCCCGTTGCGAGGCTCAAATTTGATCAACTTCGGAAATGTTACGTCTCGAGACCGCGGACATGGATATCCCTTCAAAGAGCTTTCAGCCCGCAATGTACCAGAGCCAAGGGAAGCAACGTCGGGACTGGAATAGCGTACCTCCTTGGTTCGAGACGAACGGGCAACGCTCATCTCATCGGACCTTGTTCGCGACATTCACAGGGAGTGTGCACTCGAGCGGATGTAACGTCGAGCTGGGAACATGGCCATGCTATCTGGAGGCATTCCCCTGGTTTTCAAGCTTTCATTTACACTCGTCGCTTCCGGAGCCGACGCACGAAACAAGCACCGTGCTGGGTAGGTAGTTTGCGGCATAATTGCAGACTCTGGGCAAAAAAGGAGGGGACAGAGTCTATTGTTATGCCCTTGATAAGATGGCATCGCCAGCACGCCTTTACGGATGCTACTAATGTACATCACCGATCAAAAGCTCCGTTATTCGGAGTGGATGCGATGATGGTGATGGTGTTTGACGGCAAGCAAAATGATCCAATCGGTACCAAGACACCTGCCCCCCAGCAGACCTCCAAAGTTTATCAAGGCCCGTCTGTACCAACCAACCGCTTTGGAATAGCTAAGACAGAAAAGTTTGGCGGTCTTTGACGGCGCTACGTTTCGTTCCGTATTAGTCGTCACAAAGTTTCGACCAATTCGGGGTCCTGGGCTAAAAGAGCCTAAGAGAGGGGGGGACGGCGAATGTGGGAGACGCAATAATATCAATCACGCGCCCAGATTTTAACATTGCGTCGTGCGAAGTCGCGAGATGAACCCCCACCGAAGGGCCGAAGTTCACGGCTGATAATGATGAGACAAGTGAGACATCTGCAACGACGACAGGAATGGGAGTATCGTTAATTGCGATGATCAACTGCCGTCAACGCCTGAACCCAGCCAGGCCAGAGCGCATGTAAGGTGGGATATTGTTTGGGTTGCTGGGCAGATATTACACTGGCATGCTGTTGGTAGCCGAAAGCTGCATTCCGCCACCATTCAGAGTTTCCAAGCGGCATGTAAGTGTGTTGCTGGATGCTTGAGAACACGAACTTGTTCGGTGCTCTACAGACTACAAGACCAACTCTAAAGCTTGGCAGCCCCCCGTCGCTTTGCCAGGTTTTACCCCTTCGTCCAAGCCACCAAAAGCATATATGATGGTAAGATTTCGTTCGACATCGACAGGTCACATCTAATAACTCGCAGCGCGCGTTCAAAAGAGAGAGTCAGAGAGGATTGAATGCCTGTTCCCTGCCCGTCTTCACTGTCCGGCCCGTCCCTAGCAATTTGGCTTCCAAACTAGTCAGCAGCAGCGCACATCCAATAGAACCGAACCGTCCACTCGCACGAATTGGCGCGGTATCGTTAGTGCTGTGACGACTCTACTTCTTTCTTTGGTTCCCTGGCAGGCCGCAGACGCACGCACGAAAAGAAGGAAGAAGAAATTTGAAAGGTGATACTTTTCGGGGTGCGCCGACGATCGTGTGGATGGTGCTTCCCGGGCCAAAGACGATCAATGTCGTCTCAAATCTCGCCAACTGGCAAATGAGTTGAGGGGACAGCTTGACACGCATCCAATCCTCTTTCTTTTCAGTCATTCTTTCATCCACCCCCTTAGCAAACAAGGGTAGGGGGCCAAAGAGAGAGAGAGAGAGAGAGAGAATGCTACCCCGACGAAGAAAGTTAGGTATGTGATGGCACAAGGCAGGGCGGGTAGGCACGGCGAAGTAAGGTAGGGGAGGGGGGAAGCGGAAGCGGATAGCGGATAATACGTGATGTGAGGATGGCATGCGTCTTGCAGCTGCAACTAATAAACGGTTGCTTCACACGGGCCGTGGTTCATGCGCCCAACCCTCTCTCTCTTTCGTAGAGTCTCAACCGACTTCGACCTCTTCGTGCTCCGTACTCCGCTACCCCCCCGGCCCGGCTGGCTGGCTTTGCTGGACAGACCAAACCAACCTCGGAAACGAAGTCGTCGATAGGTCACGGGAGAGAGAAAGAGAGGAGGCACAGACGCGCGTGATGATCAATGACACGGGCTTTTTTGACCCGTGTGCTCGCCTTGTGCAGGTTGCTGCTCGTTATGCAGCAAGCCGTTTGGGGTGAGGAGAGAGGCAAGGTGCTTGCTTGGGTTTGCTTGAAGCCTACCTGATTTGGGGGCTGCCTGGCTGGATGAGTGATGCGTGCCTAATAAGAGCTTCGCCATTTCATTAACATTGGCAGCTCCAACGCCAACGTCACTGTCACTGGTGTAGCTTGCGACGACAGGGCGACGGAGCTGTTAACCGACACGACTCTGGAGGCATCCGTGACGAGGAACACCCTTTCTCTCGCATGTTGCTCATCACCATCGGAAGTAGGGCGCCAATCAACCTCTCACTCCAAGGTCAGGCGATTGTATGGATAACAAAGTATTGTGACAACAAGATGCGCGCAGTTACTGCTTTCGTATGGCTACATATACATGTCATCGAGGGTTCCTTTTTGGTTACTCCCTCCTGAACCCGCATATGCACCCGAACGAACAGCTGCGCGATTCATGGGAGCGCGAAATCCCCATGAAGCGTGAACGAGCCCTCGTTACAACCCACCCCTCGTTCGGGAAATTTGCAAGGAGACGCTGCTAACTTCCCCCCCGGGTTGCGGGCGATCATTGATGTCTGATCACCCCCTAAAAAGCCCTTGATGGTGATGGAACATTTCAATCGGGGAGGGGGCCGCACTGCATAGCATACTTACCTACATGAACGGATACCCCATGAATGATGGACATCGTTGGCCTGGACTGGCCCATGAACTCCTCACCTCAAGGCTCAAGGTCCCTCCTCGGCCCTCCTGGGTGCGGTACCATTGGATTCGTACGAAAAACCTGGACAATATCCATCCATTCCCCTCCCAGTTCTTCGTATTCAAATACTTCTGGAGCGGGTCATCCTCTTTTTGGTTTCGGTCCCTCTCGCGTTGGTAATCTTCCATTTGTTCCTTCAATCTTCGATGAGCGTGGCGGGTTTCGCTTGACAGACGTGACAGCTACAAGCTGCTTTGACCCCCCCCCCCCCCTTCTGGAGGGGTTCGCAACGGAGCCAAGGTGAGGTTAGAGGCTCGTAGCCAAGCCCGAGGAGTTAAAGAATAAGGGGATACTGTTACGCGCAGGCCAGTTTCGGCACGTGAAATGAACGGCTTGTTTGCAAACATTTCTTGGGACCAACGTTCGGATGAAAAAGACGCGAGAGACATCACTTGCACAAGTGACGAAACCGTGTTTGGGGGCGCGGCCAGACAGGCGGCCCTCGGCTCACTTACTCACTCACAGGCACACAGCTCACTCACTCATTCGCACAAGGTCTCATTCACTCACTCACTCACTCAACTTTCGGCCGCGACGGGCCAGGGCCACGGGGGCGCGGACGATCTGGCACATCTAACTCACCACAAGTTTGTTTCCGCGGCACCGCCGTCCCGGAACATGCACCCAATGCTTCCCCGGGCCCCCGGGACTGGGTTTCGGGGGGCCTGCAAGCAAACAATTCGTCTTTAATCAACAGCAACCTCTTAGCCTTGCCATTTCAACACCAGTCACAACTCCGTTGGTGCAAGGGTTTCGTCTTCTTCGTTTTTTTTTTTTTTTTTTGCTAATGAGTCTCATTCTGTTGGTCTATCATGAAGTTACGCCATACGAAATCACAAAGTTACAACGACACGATACAGAGTTTCCAACCAACGAGATCGTCCTCGGCGGGCGACGATCATCCATCCGGGAACGAACAAACTACAGATACAGGGTTGACAAGCGTCGCTCGCTCCTTGGCTTCTGTGTTTGTTTTCTGCCCACTTGGCAATGATGAGTTGCATCAGGAGATTTTCTGCTGAGATCTGCCGGTCAAATTTTCTTTGGAGGTTTAATGAAACATTTTCGCACCCTTGTCCGTTTTGTTGCATCTTATTTCTTTTGGCTTCTTTTCTCTCCTGAGGGAAATTTCCCAGGTTACTTTAGGCTACCGTTTCCTTCAACACGGGATATTCCGTCTCCCATTTTCAGTTATTGTTGGAGGCCTCGATATGGGCAAGTCTGTCCACCTGTGTGAATTTCCTTCTTTCAACTCAAGTGAGGGCGTCTGTTGCGTGTGTGTATTTGTGTACTTTGGTCATTCTTGAATCCGTTCTACAAGACACGAAATCGCGGAATTGAGGCTAAGCGGCCCGTCTTCCGCATATTTACTCGACTATTCGGGTAATACGAACGCCTGGCTCCGTGGTTCTTCTCGGGGTGAGCAAGATGCTTCATCCCGGGGGGAAAGGCCAGATGGCGAATTCCAAGCGGAATGGCGGGATAGCACCAGCGAGTTGTTATTGATAAAAGCTTGCTCTTTTCAGGAGTTGGCAATAGAATGACTCCGCTGACGCTGTCGTGACGTCTGCATCTCTTACTTCTCAAAAAGGAACGCTTTCTTCTCATCCGGGCGGAGTGTCTGCGGAGTGACGAACCGAACCGAGAAAAAAACGTGGTGCTGTCGGGTTTCCTTCGGGTAATTGTTGAGCGAAACGACTCGTTTTCGCAGACAGCATTCCCGGGTTTACGGTCTGTACAAGGATATAGCTAAACCTCCTCATCGCGAAATCCCTCACTCTTGAATCTCCAGTATCATCAAGTATAGGACAGAGTGACAATCCGACCAAAACAAAGTTTCTTTGAATCGAGTTTGCCGGGCGATATTACACAAAAGTTCACTCTGTACTACCGAACAGAAATGGCGCCTCTTCAGACATGGACGGTCGATAAGCCGTACCTCAACATCCACTGCGGCCTGGGCGAAGGACCATACTACGAAAGGGCGGCCAACATCCTCCGCTTCGTCGACATCAAGAAGAAGAGGGTCCACTTTGTCAACCTCGAGCAAGGGCCCGAGTCCCTGCGGACGGTGCAGCTCGATGTGCCCGTCGGCGTGACGGCCGACGTCGAGGGTGTCGACCCGGCCGACAAGATCCTGGTCGGCCTCAAGTACGGCATCGCCGTGCTCGACGTCCGGTCGGGCGAGTACGAGTACGTCGCCAAGCTGCACGACCGGCACAATGAGAGGCTGCGGTCCAACGACGGCGCCGTCGACCCCAACGGACGGTTTTGGCTTGGTACCATGACGGATTTCGGGCTGGGTGATTTCCAGGTTGAAGGTATGTTACGGATATTCTCTCATTCGGCGGGGTTGGTTTCTCTCAGTCACCCATGACATGACGTGAACCCTTGTCACTCAAAAACTCACGACACCGCATCTCTCACTCACCTCACAGCCCCCGTCGTCATGACAACACAAACCTCTTCACCGCAAGCACACTCCCCGAAAAGAGACCAACATGCACCAGAAGAAACCTTGTAAGAAGAACATGAACTCACTCATCGGGGTCACCGACCCCCTCCCCCCTTAGGCGCACTGCACCGCTTCAACGGAAAGTCGGGCAACGAGCAAGTCCTCCAGGACATCCTGATCCCCAACTCGGTGGGATGGTCCCCGGACAACAAGACAATGTACTTTACGCACTCCACCGACCGTAAAGTCTACGCGTGGGACTACTCTGTCGCCGACGGCGGCGCGCTCTCCAACAAGCGCGTCTTCTACACCCACGACGGCAAAGGCGAGCCCGACGGCTTCCGCGTCGACACGGAGGGCAACCTGTGGCACGCCGTCTACGGCGAGGGTCGCGTGCTCAAGATCTCGCCCCAGGGTCAGCTCCTTGGCGAGGTGCGCGTGCCGACGCTGGCGACGAGCTGCGTGCAGTTCGTCGGGACCGAGCTCTTCATCACGACGGCGCAGCTTGGCGAGAACGAGGGGACCGAGGAGCAGAGGGAGCTTGGGGGCGCGTTGTTCCGCGTCGATGTTGGCGCCAGGGGTCTGGAGCCGTTTGAGTTTAAGCTCTGATGGGGGGTTTTTCCCGGGGAGGGGGAGATGGATCCGGGCTTTGGATTGAGGGTTCAACATGGGTTTGGGGTAAAGTAGCGCGTATCGTGGTTGAGGTCGTGGTCTTGTTTCATGGGTTCATGGCCGCGATTTCCACGGATGGGGTCTGATGAGCATGGGGGCATGTGTCACGTAGCTGCATCAGATACGAAGCGCGTTCTTCACGATACCCTCACAATGGAACACGAGCTATGATACTTGGGGTCTTGGAAGGACTGGATGGATGAATGGCCAGGGTTTCTGAGTCCGTACCCCAAAGGGAACTAGGCAGGCAATAGGGTGATAGTGGGATGCGTTGATGACGGCAACGAAGCATAGACACCGCTCTTTCCCTCCTGGCCTCCCTCTCTTTGTCGCCGTGCTTACCGCGTCTCGCTATCGATTGCTAAAGACTCGTGCTACCTTGATATCGTGACATTTCAATGGCCAGGTTTCTCACGGACGTGGACGACGATAGCTTCATTGGGACTGGAAGCAGAATGCGTTGTCGATGGCACCGGGTCCGAGGCCTAAACACTCTGTCCAACCTGCGCTTCTTGCGCTTCACGATAATATCTTTTGGCGGTTTACCTAGGAAAGAGCCCTTTGACTCATGTTTGTTGCCAATTGAGTTGGTGATATGCACTCCGTATTGTATATAGAACTGCAGCATGCAGCAGGTTCGCCTCACTTTTACACCGTTCAGGTCCATTCATATACGGAGGGTGGGAAGAAGCAGGGGAGATGCAACGGGCTTTTTTGCTTTTTGCTTTTGGGCACCAATGCTTCTCGCAAAGTCTCAGCTCCTTGCTGCGTTTGCACTGCATGCCCAACTGGTCATACCCCATTGCATTCCATCGCGGGACGTATGGCAGCGGCGAAGGGGAAGAGGTGCAGCTAGTGACGTCCGACATCGCTAGTGTATATGCATAAAGGCAAAGGCCATGTATGTAGCCCGCCGAGGGGGAACAAGGCCCAGCCGAACCCAACGAACCTGGCGGTCCTGTATACGCCCACCACACCCACACCTGTCGTCCGTCGTCGCCTATCTGCTGCATCTGCAACATCGACGTGGCAGGCTGGTCGCGGGTCATGTACACATACATACAAGACTCCTGCGGACCAGGTACCGCCGTCCGGCCGGGTGTTTCTCCCTCTCTTACGCTCTCGCTTTCTCGCAGTCCCGGTTTTCTGAGATCGGAGAATTAAAGTGGCTCCCCAAAGGAACGAACGACCGGGGGCTGCCGCATCGTGCAGTAGATCGGAGCCCGAGCCGCCATGTCATCCCATTCCCATGCTAGGCTGCCAGGGGAAGGGAAAAACGAATTGCGGGATTGTGTCTCTTGGGTTTAACCTGGGCCTAGTCTAGCCCTTCCAGCCGGCCCCCAGGACCCCTGGTCTCCCGGCGATGAGCCCCGGATCCATGGTTTGCCGCCGCCGCCGCCGCCGCCGTCGCCGTGCCGTGCCACCGCTGGTTTTCCCAGCCCGCTACTTGAGTGCATACATGCGTACCGGGAATAGATCCTTGGGAAAGCCGTTCTGCAGCTCCGTCTTGACAAGGCGCAGACCCGCTTGCTGAAAGAGGGCGCGGAACTTGTCATCCACCCTGTTTTGCGTTTGCCATGCGTCAGTGTCCCGTGTATGTATGTATGTGTATGTATATGTGTTATGCAAGTGTCTTGCATGCGCCGCAGACCATCCAGTTACGTGGGCCATTGAGAGTAGCTTGATGACCGCTACTGAGGCGAAGTTTCCAACAACATGACGGTTGGTGGTGGGAGAGGTTGGCGACAATAGACCAGGGTAGGAAGTCGGGGAGGAAGATGATAGGTTTGAGAGTGAACTCACCTCGTCACACTGCTGTCAACATCGTCGAATAGATCGACACCGCTAGTGCTCAAGTTTTCCTTGACGACGATGAGACCGTCATTGGGAGCAACAACGGCCTTACAACGGCGCATGTAGACTACAAGCTGGTCGTCGGTGAGGTGGCCGAGACACCACTGGTTCCAAATGAGGTCGTAGGCGGTGCCATCAAGTGGCTTCCACTCCTCGAGACCAATGTTGAAGACGGATCCCACGCCAGACTTTTCCTGTAGAGCGGCGGTGAACTTCGCAATGGGTTCGACGATGTCAACTTGTTCAGCTACATCGAGAAGGAAACCCTCTGTGATGCGGCCGATGCTGGGGGTTGGGGGTTAGCAAGGGTCTGCATGACACGGAGACTTGAACCGGGGAGGCAGGGATGTTGCAGCAAGTATCCGTACATCACGGTGAGAGGTCGCGACATGAGATGCAAAAAGTAAGACAAGGGTTGAAGAAACGGGTCAGGAAAGGCAAATCATTAGCTCGGCCCGCTCGTGCAGTGTTGCGGTTGCGGTGGGTAAGGGTAGGTATAGAGTGAAAGTGAGACAGAGTATGGAGTAAACTGAGCATGAGTAACTGCAGAAGGAGGCAAAGAAAGAAAGGGAAAAAAAAAGGTTGGGAGGCGGTGAGTTGAGATAGCGGTGAGAGACGCCAGGGGGCGTGTACGGATATGAAGTTTGCGAGGTCGACTTTTGAAAATCAGACGCAAGCCATGTCCAATGTACGGGTACACCGGACGGAAGAGAAGAAAGTCGCAAAGAAAAACTCACCCGGCCCCGCCTTCCAGAGCGCGGCTCACCGTCCGCAGACCGCTCTTCGAGCCAATGCCCAGTTTGGCGAGAAAGTTGCGCGAGCCCTGCAGGTCGACCTTGCTGATGTAGGGGAAACCGCCCAGCATACCGTTCACGTCGGCATCGATGCCCTGCCAGTAAGAACGGCCATCGGCGGCGCTGATCTTGGCGTCTGGCGGCGGTGTGGCTGTATGTTCTGCTGTTCCTGTTCCTGCTGGTGCTGAAGCCGCGGCAGCTTCTTCGTCACTGGGCATTGTGACGCAATACGGGCAGCGACACGCAACCTCACTTGCTCGTCTTTAGCAGGTGTGTGTGTGGTTGATGATGTGTGTGGCTCGTTGGCAGACAGCGTGGTAGTGAAGAAACGATCGGAGGTTGCTTGGCTGTGTCACATTGTTGAAGAATGTGTGCACTGCATCACAGCAGCAGTGGTTGACGTGGATGCGAATATGGAGATGACTCGGGTTTGTGCATCTTTACTGGATTAGAAAGAATGACGTGCGTCTAGATGCATATAGATAGCTAATAGTACGCTAAAGCACAAGTATCGTTTAAACACACTGGGAAAAGCTCCTACCATGTGAGATAAGATAAGAGGACACCGATAAGCCGATTAGATTGGGACGGACCTGGAAGCCCGGGCAGGCAGATAAGAAACCTAGAAAGTCGTCATCAATCACGCGAAAGGAAGCTCTCCAATCTAAGGTTAACCTCCCAACTCTATCATGACGGACTGCACCGGGCCCTTCGTTGCCCACTGCGCGCAATTAAGTTGCCATGAGAATGCTTGCTGGAAATTCTGCACTAGAAGAGTTTCTTTTGCCTTTTGGTTTTTATATCCATCTGAACCTCCAGCCAACTTAAGTTAATCTCAGCTCCTGCAGCTGTCAGCCTCTCCCGGAACCCTACGGAACACCAGCGCGGAGCATAATCTCACGTCGATATCACGACGTTCCAAAATGACGACCTCGTCTGATGGCCCGTCGATTGCCAAGTCAGCCAGTGCTGTCTGGAAAACTCACTTCCCTTTGATATTCAGTCTGCATTGTGGCACCGCCTGCGCCCGAACACACACCTCTATGTGAATGACACTTTGCAGGATCGTTCGGCCGTTATGCGCATCAATGTCCAGGCAGCGGGACGTTGGAGGATTCGAAGGGACGATTTCGACTACATATTCCAGACGGCCTCTGTCTTCTCAACTCTTGGAACCAGTCAGCTGACTGTACTTTTCCATTTGGAAATATTTGCGACGAAGCGGGAACTGTTTTGCCTGTTAGCCGGTCGCCGACAGCAAAAGTCGCCGTACTCAGCCACACCAATCCATGCCGTCCTCGTTCTCAATTGCCTCATGGACGTTGTCAAACTGACTGGCTTCATCAACGGACGAGGTGGTTTTCCTGAAATGGACTCTCGAATGAAAATAGTTCGTCGTCCCGGTGGGATCGATGGGATTTCCTGTTGGGATTCGGCTGCGACGATGCTCACCTCGTCTCCCAGAGTCCCCACGACTCCGGCAAAACTTGTCTCTGAAGCGAGCGGCCCATGTTTAAAACTTCCAAAATCGGAACCCGAGGGACCGCAGTGTGGCCTGTGTCTCGAGTTGCAAACGATTATTTCCAAATACCTACCAACTGATCTGCGATGGAACCAGGAATCCGGGGATGCCAAGAGTTGTAACCAATATGCAACCGATATCAGGCGCGAGAAAGATTATGGAACAAAGGATCTGCAGATTCCTTGGAGGACATCGTTTCCTCAACCTCCAGGGCCTCACCCTGAACGCCTCGGCCATGGCCGGTGCCTTTGTCGACCTCTCTCGACCTGTCGACGTTGACATCATGTGATACTCCAAGAAAACATAGCCCAGTCGAGGTTTTGCGTGGTGCGGTCCAGGCTTTTTTGAGGCAAGGGGCCTTTCAGGGCTGAACGCAAAGCCCAGCCGTAACCAGGCACGCCAGGTTTCTCCTACACACTACCACGCTTCTGATACTAGCCCGGGGCCCGAACGTCCAAGATTGGATCCCCTTTTCTTCCCCGCGGGGGCGGAACCTGCGGATCGCGTGAGGCGACGTTCGATTGCCTGTCTAGATCACTGGTTCGGTATTTCGGCAGCCTTGTGGCTGCATCTGCTACTTGAAGTTATACGACTCTTCGGCTCTTAAGCGCCGTGTCAAAAAGCTTGACTGGCAACGGCCACCGACGACGGCATACTGCACCCGCGCCGCGTAAGTCTATTCCCTCGCATCGCGGGTTTCCTTGAATTTTTCCTCGGTGAACACGATATCCGGAGCTGAATCAAAGTTCAAGGACAAGGGGCTGTCATATTTACAGTTGTATGCTTCTTTTTTATTCCGTCACCAGGCCCTAGTCATTTGTCAGTTGCGCATATCAGCAGTTCTCGAGAACGTCAAGAAATTTGCGCAATCCCCCCTGGGAAAGCGTTTAATCTGCCAGCCTATCGAATCTCGTCGTTTTCGGATTGAGTCGTGGGCAACCATGCAACGAATGGTGTCGAGAAGATGACGAGCAGGGTGGGACGAAGCGAAGCGGTTTGAGGCGGTTTGACCTTGCTCACCTGCCTTGCTGTGTTCTGCAGCACCGGCCCAACCACAGCATCCTTTGAACCACCAAAAGGGGATCAGGGGGATTGAACAAAGTTTACTGCCCTCAAACGTGAAAAACGCGAAGAGAGGATGAGGAGAGGGGCACGAGCCAGGCAGATCACCCGTGGTCGTGGTTAATCGTGTGGATGTCTCTCCGGATCCCCAATGCTTATTCCTGAGACTGGCCAGGGGCGACCTTTGAGTTCCGAATCAAGCATGAATAACCTTACAAAGTCTGTTGGTGGCCCTGGTTCGCGCTGCATGATACGAAAAGGGTGTGGGACTGAAGACTTCGGACGAGGGAACAGAGTTTCGGTTGCCTCGAGCACCTTACCCTTTCTGAAGGTCTGGATGTAAAGGACTTGGGACGACGATGGACCGAGTCCCGAAACGACCCTCTGCGGTTGGCCTGACTCAACGGCTGTTGCTATTCTCATTGCGATGCAGATGAGGATATCGACATATCGTCTCTTGATCCATGAGTGGTGGCTCAGCGCCCAGCACATTGACATCTGTCCTGCTAGAGTGGTTTCAGGCACCCTCGGTCACAATGTCTCGACATGTTCCGCCTCACGCCACTCACAGTCGTATTGGGGGCACTTGATTTGGGACGAAAGATGAGTGAGTACATAAAGATCTGACCGGTTCCGCGTCGTTTAGATCTTTTTTGATTTGGTTCGACGGCAGGCCTCACAGTATCAAATTTAATACAGACATTCCCTTGGAAACAGTTGCTTCGGTTCAACATTCATCACAGAATCATCTAATATTTCACCAACTTCGGTTCACTTCAGTCCATCAAAATGAAGTTCCTTACATTCGGATTCCTTCTCGCCTCGACGATCGTTAGCGTCAGCAGTGCTCCCACAGATATCGATAGCAGGGCTGTCAGGTAGGTCCAGGGGCATCGCTTGTGTTGTATCGAGCAAGCCGGCTAACAACACTTTCAGTTATCAAAACAACTATGACCAACACTTGGAGGATCGCGAGGAGCGCAAGGAGGCTCGCGACATCTCCGTCCCCTCGTTCGCCGGCGTCGAGACCACCAGCGGTGTGGTCGCCGACATCGAGGTGGAGGAGAACGCCGTTCCCCTGAGGGCCCGCCAGCTTCTCAAGAAGAAGAAGGGCAAGAAGGGCAAGAAGGCTAAGAAGGCCAAGAAGGCGAAGAAGGCCGCGAAGAAGGCAAAGGCTGCTGCCCCCGCAAAGGCCAAGGGCAAGGCCGCGACCCCCGCCGCCGGCGCCGCGAAGAAGAAGGCCGCCACTCCCGCTGCTCCCGCCGCCGGTGGTGCTGCTGCCAAGGGCAAGGGCGCTGCTGCTCCTGCTGCTCCCGCTGGTGGTGCTGCTGCTAAGGGCAAGGGCAACGCTCCCCCCGCGGCTGCTCCTCCTGCTGCTGCTCCTCCTGCTGCTGCTCCTCCTGCTGCTGCTCCTCCTGCTGCTGCTCCTCCTGCCGCTGCTCCCAAGGCTCCCGCGGCCGCACCTCCTGCCGCTGCCCCCAAGCCTCCTGCTGCCGCGCCCGCCGCCAACCCTCCGGCCGCTGCTCCCAACGGCGCCGCGAAGCCCATCACTCCCGCTCAGCCGGCTGCCGTTGCACCTGCCCCTGTCGCTCCTGCGATTCCCGCGGGCAAGAACAACGGCAACTGAGTTACGTCTCAGCAGCTGGTTGTGGAGGTTGGAGGTTAATGGATAGAGAAAATCAGCACTGGTGCTGGTTGCTTGATTCGGTTCACGAGGTTTACGACAATGCGCGCAGTTATGGCGATTTCATAGGGCCAAACAGATGTGGTGACTTAAAGGTTTAGCCGCATAGGACGTGGGCAAATCCCCCTTCCCTTTGGGACCCCTCTTCCATCTCCGTGGTGGTCGAGTCCGTGGGCTTTCGTCCCTGACGGCCTCAAAAAAGCAGCCTAGGAGCTGTCATTGAGACGTCTGGATGAGCTAGGGGTTTGAGACCGGAGTGCGGAAGTACATACATAGCCACAACGAGCAATCCAAGCGTCAGACGTTTATTCCCATCTTCGTGTTTGTCTCTGCCTCTTAGTCGAAGTGAGTTGCGAGTGGTCAGAGGTCGCCGCTCTCTACATAGTGATGTCGGATATGTCGATGCGTATACATTTGTGAGACGAAATATCTTGGCGCTATGATGTCCGCGGCCTCCTCTTCACCAAGGAATCCCTTTCCTCGTTTCATGAATTGGACCCATGGAAACATGTTTCACTATGGTCCCTGCCAATAACCACACCAACTTCTTCAAACCCACGGACATGCAGGTCATGTTATACCCATGTGCACGCTGTGGCCGTCTCAACTTCTCTCCTGCTTGCCTCCCCCTCTTCCCCCTTCCCCCCCTTCGGTTCGTTACATCTTTACTTGCCAGTGTCACCATCCAAGGCCAAGTTTACGAGCGACGGGACCCGATCTCTCCGGCGACCTGATCAACAGATTGAATGCAACCCTCTCTCATGAGATTTTCCGAGTGGCTGAACCGAGATGTGTCAATGTAGCTCTGCACGATTCTTTACCCTCCTTTGGCAGCTACCTCGCCATATGCGTAGAATGAGTCGAATATCTTGGCCCAACACTCCCGACTCAAGTCCGAGAGCTCCGGCCGCTCCATCCGGCCGCACCGGACACCGACGACCAATTAAGACCTCACTCCCACGATTCGGGCTTCAGGTCAAATGAAGCTTTCCCTGTCTGAGTCCACAACCCCCCCGGTCCACAAGGCAAATCCACTTTTTCCTTCCTTTGTTGCACTTTTCTCTCTTTCGTTCTTTTTTCCCTATCCCCACCGAATTAGCTATTCGCGTCCCCGTTTTCCCGCACGCACATTGAAGAAAATTTCAACGACCTAATCCACCATCCAGCCCACAACAACCCGCGCATGAAAGGACTAAGAGCAGATTCTGCTTCTGACCTTCCCATCAACGGGCACCCATCCCTTCGACTCCATTCAGTCGTTGAATGGCCGGTTGGCCCAATGGCAAGGCGTCTGACTACGATTCTCTAACAAGAACGTGTAATCAGGAGATTCTGGGTTCGACCCCCAGGCTGGTCAAATCTTTTGCCTCTGGGCGTATCCTACACATCAGCAGTCTAGTCAGTGATTGTTCCTATTATTTCCCTTCCATTTTGGCCGAATTTGCCGAGCGTGTCTCTTCTTACACACTCGAACGCCACCTACTTAGTCAGGTGAGCGGCAACTGCGCTCCGGTTGGGTGGCCGTGTAACATGAAACAAGTCCCGAGCCTGTCGTGGGCCAGCAGAAACCCGGTCGCACTTACTAGCAACCTGTCTCTCTACGTCGAGGGATTCATTGACCGGCGGAAAGGTGATCAAGTTGATGATTGCAATCATTCGCAACGAACCGTAGGACGTTGACGAAAAAACTCTCTGCCCACGAATGCAAAGATTTAGGGATAAGCTTAAACTGGGTGACAGAACTCAAGCGTGACGCGAACGAGAAGTCTGTTGTAGCGATGCTTTTCGCTACTGAGGGCCCTCGTTCCCTGTATAAGCTCAGGCTTTTGCTCTGCAGTTTGTCACTCTGAGCTTGTTCGGAGAGGAAAGACGTCATGGTCATGAGTCGTCGCCGGACCACGCGATAGAGTCGTTTTGGGTTTGTGCTTTTTGAGTTTGTTGTCGTCATCAGTAGGGACTTGGCTTCGTCGACGATTGTTCAGGAGGCGAGTGAGGGATTCTCTCACAACCGCGGTCAACGATGCATTCTGGTAGAGTATGGTCTGCTTTCACCTCCATCCCGTCAATCGTATCATGCACACCTCTTCAAGCATTGCAGCTCTCCTAAAGATTTCATAAACCTATGGCTCTTGGGCCATGTTGGAAGACTTCTCTCGCCTGTCTCCTCTATCAAGGATCCCTCGACGACTCGCAAAAGCTTATTCTCAGCGGGCGTTGATGCAAATCCTCCCTCCCCAATCCCAGGGTCACACTTGTAATTCAACTTGGCTCAAGTGTCTGTTTGTTCAATAATCATAAGCTGCGTTCGAAGCCGCGTAGAACAGACGATCTGTCATCGAATAGCCTTTTCATTAGCCTGGCTGTCAAGTTTTTCTGTAGTTAGGTTTTCTCTGCTTCTTCTACACACTGCCCAGATGTCTCTTAGGATCAGTTGAGAACGTATTGGATTCAGACCACAAACCCCGGAAGGATCATAGCCCACTCCCATGCAATTGAGTAAGCCCATCCATCGCCCCTGCACTAGACAGGAGAAGATGTCATTCTTCGACATTACCTACCGATATCTCTTCTTGCTAACGTTTTTCACACTCAAAATATCGAAAGAAATCAACCAAATTGATGGGAAAACAATTGATCAATCAATCCCATTCGCTAAAGCCGACTGGCTTCATTTGCACCTTGACGATGAGACAAACACATTGTTGGATCGCCTCGATTTGTTCCCACCAGGGTTGGGAGAACATATGTAGTCAGCATGAGTGCAATCAAAGACAAACACACAAAAAAAGAAAACAACACATCAAGTGTTGATAAAATCATTGTTCTGCTACTCAGTGTCTTGCTGCAGATCAAAAAATTTGCTCCTGGTGAGGATCGAACTCACGACCTCCGCATTTCTCACATTGATGATGTAATTATAAGAACGGCGCCTTCACCACTTGGCTACAGGGGCTTTCTTAACTTCCGCGGAAATCTGACTTATGTACCCTCGCTCAGCCCCCTGAGCTCGGTCCGGCACCACGCGACGGTGCGGCGCAGCAACTGCCCATACATCCACATACACAAAGCACAATCCGTAAAAGCATCCAATGCAACTCCGATTTTCATCACAAAGAGCGCTGTCCTCGAATTCGTCGATATGCTCTGTTCCAACGCGGCGATATGCACTGTTAGTGCAGTACTTTGCTGCAGCGCACCACCTCTATCAGAGACTTTGATTGGGTGATGTGGTCTTTGGTGGGGTCCGGATGACAGGTTGCTGGTGAGGGGGAGAACAGCGATCGCAGATCGGGAGTCAGATACCTTTCTAGTGCCCTACAGTCGTTCCGCCTTCTTTCAAATGGGATGTAAAGTGTGTCCATGGCGCCAGGCTGAAATGCTCCAGGAAGTGCAAGACGAGTTAAACGCGAGACGGCTGTCAAAATTCGAAGCGGATGCATGTGTTCGGATGGATATTCACTCTGAGCCTTTCCCTTGAAAGCAATTATTTGGCTTTCTTCCGAGAATATGCTCCATTACACCTCTGCATTCTAACTGGCATACATATAGGAAGGCTCAAACAAGGCGAAAGGCACATTTGAGGCACCTTAGCCCTTCAATGCTGCTACCGTTGCCGCGAGCGCCGTCCCGGCAGGTGGGGCGCCCGGAGTCCGGAGGACGCTAAGCATTACCGAAGGCGAGCGATCCCGATGACTCTGCTCGGGACATTAGCACATACCCGATGGAGGTTCTTAGGATAGAAAACTCAACGCCGTAGTATTGTTCCCGTATTCCTGTTTGGATGCATCGTCATATAGCTGTTTTCTCAACCTTTACACGCCTGCGAGCGAATTTCCCCGTCCACCTAGTAACTCATCCTCGTCAGCAAGCTTCTTTTACAAGGCCCATCCTTCTTCCTATCCTCCGCTCTGCATCATCATACCCGCCGGTACAGAGACTTCCAAACAGCCTCTTTTATACCCCAGACCTGCTTCTAATTAGCAGCTGACTTGATGATCTTGATGCTCTCGGCCCATATCATCGCCCCCGGTCCAGACATAGATTGGACCAAATGAGAACGACTTCTGAGAGATCTTATGCATAAGGCGACAGGGTAGGGACAAATTGTGGAACTGAATCTTTCAATCGTATCTGCGGATAATCAGAAGAGTTCTTGAGAGGTAATAAATCCAGAATTCCATCAAGCCAGACATCAGCCAGACAAAAACAGGAAACATGGGAACACAGCAACAGGAATGCTTACATACATCGAGATGCATGGGTTGAGCCTTGACATCGTTCAGACACGACACCGCAGATGGTTGTGCGTTTGACTTCATCAGAGGTCGCCTGTTTCTACACCCTAGGTCTTGCTATCCTACTGTACGTTTTACCAGAGAAATCCCACCTCGAATTCAGTCTTCATCCGCCTCCTTCAAATCAGACGAAGGTAAACGAGCCTATGGTCAGAGACGGTATGAACTCCAAGAGTGTATTGCCCCAGAAATGAGGTCTGTGTCCGGCCCATAAGTTTCAAGGAATATTTGAAGTTGGGCCATAGCATCTCTAGCAATCGCCCACTGGACCTGCTAAACACATCGACTTCAGTTCTCCATATACACAAGGCAATACAACATGAAGCAAGGAAAAAGAAAAGGCTACCAAGATCGAGAGTAGCAAACCGGGCAGGTGGAGAAGAAGAAAAGCCCAAGTACCTACTGGAAGCATAAGCCAGTCTAGCAATGTTGCCCATTGCCTTGTTCGAAATCACCTTCACTTCGTCTCCTTCAACCTCACATACTCCAGCCTCATACACTTCGTCCTCACTACCTCACGTCTCGTACCCACCTTTTCACGTTTATCAACAGCCTCATCTCATACCTCAACACGTGACTTGGGACCATTAGGTCTAGTCGTGTATATTCCGACTCATCACTTCACAAGAGCTGTTGGCCATGGTATATTCTTATAGAAAATCAACCTCTGACTGCGTTACCCAGCCCTAACCTGCCCATCGCTCCTTCCTCAGAAGAGATTGACAGACCCACGGCAGGTTTGACCTTTTCACCCGCCGTCCCCCGAGCAACCTCTTTTTTCCTCTCGACAACTTTCCCCAAAGCAGTCGATATATTTTTCCTCACACTTGCCACCCGCTCACCTCATCAATCACCAAGCCGTATCGTCAAAAGAAGCCACTGGCTTCACTTCTTGACTTCTGAATCAGGTATGTTTTCTCACTCGTACGACACAGTGAAGGGCCGCACATCTAATTCAGCATCAGGCTCACAACAGCATCTCATTGTTCATGACCTAGCTTCAGCAATCTTCCTTGACAGCCTTTGCTCATTTTCACCGAGCAGACTCGCCTACTCTCTCACAAGGACAGTATCAGCAGCAGACAAAGCAGTCACAATGGATCACTTCGCCGAAGAGGAGAAGTTTGTTGATATCATCGACTACAAGAAGATCATAGTCGATCGCATTCCCGCGACCGTCTCGGACACTTACCGCAGCACACTCATCAAGACCATCGATTATTTCATCGACACTCCCGACCCTTCCAACTGCGATCTCTTTTGGAAGGTCACCGCGGAATATGTCTCCAATGTCGAGCCTCCCTCGCACTTCGTCATTGCACTCTGTCTCGCCTCGCCCTCGCTTGCTCTCGAGGGTCAAGCTCTTCAGTTCCAGAAGGACTTCTACGCCAAAAACCCCGATGTGGCTCACCACTTAAATGATTGGACTGTCCAAGGCCTCGTCAATCATCACAACAAGAAAATCCTCTCTGGGGACATCACTGGCGACTATGTACACAACATTGACGGCACCCCCTGGAACCCCGATGCTATTGTCGTCAGCCACCCTAACCACAAGCGCCCAGCCTCTGCCGTTGAGGATATGGTGCCTGGTCCATCGTCCAAGAGACAGGAGGCGACCACGTCGCTCCCCTTCTTCGAGAACAAGGACACCCCGCGCCTCAACTTCCTCGCTCAGGCACAAGAGGTCCCCAAGGACTTGCGCCCCATCCTCCCTCCCATGCCCGAAGCCCCCAGAAGCCCGTCTATCGGCGATCTTATGGAACTCCCCCTTCCGGATCGCCCTATCTCGCCCGGTATCTTCCTCAACCCTATCCCGGGTATGAAGGGGGATGAGGAGCGCCTCGACAACGGCTCTCTCTTCAATAACCCGGCCAGGCTCCCTGATGCGCCCATGCCAGGCATGAGTGGAGACAACGAGCACATTGGCAACGTCTCTCTCTATGGCAACCCAGCCAACTTCCCTATCGTGGACTATAACAACCCGTTCAGTCCTGCTCGCGAGCCGTCCACCTTCCTCGCCAACGACGACTATGGCTACGGAGACTATGGAATGGCTCCAGCTGGCTACAACTCCAGTGGCCCTGCTGGCTTCTCCAACAACCAGGAGGCTTCCTTGCCTGTCGGCTTATCCGGTGGCCTCTCTGACAACGACAACACCCCTGTCGCCTATGGCGCCCCTGAGGCTCCCATGACCATCTACAGTACTCCCTCCGCCGCCAACCTGCCGATCGATGCGCCCATCCCGGCGCCCCCGGCTGACGTTCAGGATTCCGCTGTTCATGAGAATGGTGATCAGGCCTCTGCTGTTCAGAACTCCACTACTCAAGCTGCCACTGCTCAAGCTTCCGCTGGTGCTCAAGCCCCTACCATCAACCCCTGGATCGCAGCCGAGCAAGCCTCCGCCTCGCGCATTGCCCGCCTCACCACCCTCATCGCCCAGAAGCAAGCCGAGGCCCAGGACAAGATGAAGCACGCCGATGCCCTCCGCACCGAGCACGCCGCCCTGGTCAACCCCTTGCCCGTCATCACCGACGCGCCCCGCGGCGCCTACGTCACCTCCGCCGAAGGCGACGCCCTCCGCAAGTTCGTCATGGAGGCCCACGACTTCGAGGCCCGCGCCCAAAAGTTCTACAGCGAGGCCATCTCGGCCATGTTCGAGGCTTCCCGTCTCGAGAAGGAGCGTTACGAGGAGAGCGTCAACGTCGGCAACAAGCGCGTCGAGCGCATGCAGACGCTGGTCTACAAGATGGCTGGCTTCGCGAGAGACGCGCAGGGCTTGGCCCTTGGTGCCCGTCCTGGCGAGGCGCCTCAGCTTCCGGGTGGGGTCAAGGACGTTGGAGACATCGTCAGTCGGATGACGCAGCTGAAGCAGGCGTCGGACTATCTCGTTCAGCAGATTCATCTCGTCGAGAAGGACTTCAGACAGTACCAGGAGTACCGCCAGTTCATGCGACAGATGCAGTGATCGTACATGCTTCCAGGGTATCGGGTTTTGGGGGGGTTGCTATACTCGTTGAACCGGGACACATTGGTTGCTACTTCTTCCTTCTTTGCTGACCTATCGCATTTCTCATATTAATTGCATCCACGAGGAACAACAATGAGAGATGGAGGAGGTCTTTGGCTTTCAGGAGTTAACGGAGGGTTTTGGGTGATGAAATCCTTGAGATACCCCCTAGGCTTTGGCTTCTTTGGCTTGTTAATAACCTAGATACCCATCAGGAAATGCCCGAGGATCTCGGAGGAATGAGCAAGGATGCAAATCCATGAGAACAATGGCTTTAAGTTTGAGCCTACGAGAACAAGGACATCGAGATACGCATTGAGAACAATGAAACCATGAATCAAACTGAAGAATCCCCTAAGTGAAAGTGGACTCCTAGAACAAAGAGGATTACCAATCAAGTGAATTCACTCCCTAAGTGGTGGTAGAAATCATGAGAACAAGAGTTGGTCAAAGCAAATGGAGACTTCAGGTGATGGTCAATTGCCATTCTGTATTATGGTATAATCAATGATGGTAGGTAGTAAGTACCTCAGGGTGAGTAGTATCGATCGCTCTATCAATGTCGATGGTGTAAGCCCCAGAAATCCTCAACGCCTCTTTGATGTAAAGCCAGATAAATGAGAGACCATGTTTAGAAAAACAAAAGTCAGAAACCAAAAAAGCAAATAATTGCAACTTTTTCAACACTCCCTCTCTTTTGACACTTCGCTCCCCATTGTATTATGCATTACAAACGTTGTTTAAGCACAACTGCTACTCCAACTCGTCTGGCAACCCACAGCGGCATAACAAGCCGGATTCGTGATAAGCAGTAGCTTGCTGGTGGCGCATACGTTGAGCGCCGTACAGCAGAACCCGTCACCACATTTGGCATTGGCAGCCGAACCGCAGGCCGCGCCGATGGTGCTGACCGTCTTGACGGTAGATGCTGCCGCGGACGTGGCCGCGGGTGTTGCGGCGGTAGTACCGGACCCGGAAGAAGTATCTGTGAGAATTTAACCTAATTAGCCAAAAACAAAATTCGTATTAGCAAGGTCATATAAGCCAAAAATATGTAATTCTACTCACCACAGGTACCGTATCCAGACTGGCAGCCCGTGCCACAGAAAGCAGACGTGCTACCGCAGTATCCGTACGCCGAGCAGCAGTTGCCAAACGTCGAGCCGGCGCAGGTCGACCCGCCGTTCGTGGAGCCGCAGTTGCCGTTGAGCGAGACGGCGACGTTGACGCCCGTGCCAGAGCACTTGCCGAAGCCGGACTGGCAGCCCGTGTCGCAGTGGGCGGTGGTGTTGCCGCAGTAGTTGTACGGGGAGCAGCAGTCGCCAAAGTTGGAGCCGAGGCAGTTGTAGCCGTTCGTGCCGGCGCACTCGCCGTTCTTGGAGATGTTTGTGTTTGTCGCGGCGGCGGCGTTGGCGGTCGTGCTGCCGCCTGCGGCGCCGGAGGAGGCGGGGGTTGCCGCGGAGGAGGAGGAGCCCGCGGCGGCGCCTGAGCTCGAAGCGGCGGTCGTGCCGTTGCAGGAGCCGTAGCCTGGTTGGCAGCCCGTGCCGCAGTGGGCGTCGGTGGTGCCGCAGTAGTTGTAAACGGAGCAGCATGTGCCGAAGGTGCTTCCCGTGCAGGACTTGCCGGCCGCGGCACCGCATGAGCCATCGGTGGAGATGAGGGAGGTGCTAGGGAGGACGGCGGAGGCCGAGGATGTGCCGCTGGCGATGGCTGAGCCGGAGCTGCTGGCCGCACCGGAAGAGCTGGCGCCGCTCGAAGAGGAGCTGCCAGAGGCGGATGATGTGCTGTTGCAGGTGCCGAAGGCAGACTGGCAGCCTGTTCCGCAGTGGGCATCGGTGCTTCCGCAGTAGTTGTAGACGGAGCAGCAGTTACCGAAGGTCGAGCCGAAGCACTGCTTTCCGCTGGCGGCACCACAGTCACCGCCGGTGGAAACGGGAAGCGTCGAGGTGGATGAGGCGGCGGAGCTGGAGGCGGACGCCGTGCCGGTGCCTGAGGAGGAGCCTGAGGACGAGCGAGTGTTAGACGATGATGATGATCCGCTGCGAGTGGACGAGCTGGAGGTGCCGGTTCGAGATGAACTACTGCTGGTACCAGTGCGAGACGAACTGCTGCTGGTACCAGTGCGAGACGAGCTGCTACTGGTACCGGTGCGGGAGCTGGAGCTCGACGTGCCGGTGCGAGAGGAGCTGCCGCTGCTGCTGGTGCCGCTGCGGGTGGACGAAGAAGAAGAGGTCCTACCTGATGAGGTGCCACTGCTCGAAGATGAAGTAGTGTTGGATGCTGAGCTTCCGCAGGTGCCGTACTTGGACTGGCAGCTCGTGCCGCAGTAGACGGAGCTGGAACCGCACCATCCGGCACCGGAGCAGCAGTTTCCGTAGGCGGAGCCCTGGCAGGTGAAGCCGACGGTAGAACCGCACTGGCCGTTGGTGGAGACGGCCGTCGAGGTGGAGGTGGCGGATGAGGTGCGGGTGGACGACGAAGACGTCTTGGTCGAGCTGGACGAGCTGGAGGTGCTGGAGCAGACCTTTGAGCTGACGGGGGTGATCTGGAAGTTGTAGGCCGGGACGGCACCACGGTACCAGTTCTCTGGGGGGTCGCCGAGGCAGGTACCGACGGTGACGGCGTTCCAGCCGTTGGCGACGACGGAGTCGAGGATGTGGTTCGTCAGGGTCGTGGCAATGTACTGGTGGATGTCGTGCTCGATGTGCAGGTAGCTGCCGTTGCAAGGCGTGCGGGCCAGCATGGCTTGATCCCACAGGTTCACGCTGAACTGGATCTGGTCGGCCTGGGTGTGGAGGTAGCCCTGAGTGTCGAGATCGAAGTAGGTGATGTGGTAGCCCAGGTCGGCCATCTGTCCCTGGCACTCGGCTCCGCAGATGGAATAAGGCGGACGCATGTAGGTAGGGAAGAATCCGAGGATGTCCATGAACGCAATCTCGTTGTAGACCATCTGGTTCTTGCGCTGGGCGAGCGTCAACTGGTCCAAGTTCTCGTGGGACCATGTGTGGCTGGCAACCTGGTGACCATCTGCAATCATTCGCTGAGGGAAGTTAGAATAGGTAAATTACAACCAAGTGTGGCTAAGGAGCTTACTGTGATGACATCGCGGTAGTTAACATTGATCATGCCCTTGCCGATGTTGTTGCCCGTGATGAACCAAGTAGCGACGGCACCGTGGGCCTTGAAGGCATCCAACATGGCAGCGGTGTAGATGTAAGGACCGTCATCGTATGTGATGGCGACATCACCCTGGTTGACGCAAGCGTAGATACCAACGCCACCGTAGGGAATGTTGCCGTTCTTTGGCCTTGCGTAATCTGAGGTATCCGGACCATTGGGCTTCTCATTGCCGTCGCACGCAGGACCGTAGTTGATTTGGCAATCGGGGGACGCACAGTATTGCTCAGACTGACCACACCATCTAATTGCGCTGTTAGTCAAGGACCGTTGACAGGCGAGATGTAGTTCAACATACCCAGAAGCTGAACAGCAGTATCCATCCGCACATCTGCCATATGATCCTCCACACTGCGAGTTGTCTCCCAACGGGATTGATGACGTCTGGCGAGGGCTGAGTTTCACGCGGTCCGCGCGTGGCTTGTTGGCTACCGTCGGCGGGTTCCAGGGCTCAAAAGCATTCCGTCTCTGTCTCAGCTCGTCGATATCGCGAAGACGAGGCAATACCAAGTTCGGGTGAGGGACTTCATCCTCGTCGTGAGCATGAGCTGCTTGTAGCCCTGCAAGGGTTGCTAGTACAACAGGAGTCCAACGCATGATGACTCGTGTCGATACTGAGAAAATGGAAAAGAAAGATATTACTAATAAACCCAGTGATTAGGTTGATGTAAGTCGTAATAGTCGACTACTCTCAAAAGATTGTCTTCAAGGAAAACAAACAAACTCGAAAACAACCTAAGAGATAAATGAGTGCTCTTAGGCTTTCTTTATTAGGATACTGAAGCACCTTGATAGAGGGATACCGAGAAAGAATAAACATCATGAGGAACCCGTGCGGTCCCCCAGTGTTATATACAAGGGGAGACGAAAGACCGGGGGGGAGGCGTTCATGTTCGATGTCGCAGTAGAAAACGGCAGCAGTGACATTCTCCATGAGAGACTTCTCGCATAGCCCAGATTCTGGCGATGGCCGCAAAAAGACACACACCAACACCACTTACACGCCCGCGCCCCACACCCCTCCCACCCCCATCCCCATCCGACTGGGAGGACCGAGCAATACCACAATGGAAATTGGAGGATCGCGAGGACTAGCTTGGGAGCAGGTCTACCGGGTACGGGAAAGTTAGCGTGGCGTAGAAAGGGACCCTCTCCCCTCCAAGCTCGCGCCGTCCGGGACGGGTAGCAAAGAGAACCACATCATGGATTCAATGGAATCGGTAAGAATGGGCAAAGAAAGAGAGAGAGAGAACGACAATGACGCGCGCTTGTTCCTCGATTTACTCCGCACATCGTCCCACACATTTTATTTCTTGCCTAGCTATCCAAGCCATCCAGAAAGGTCCATCTGGCGCCAAGATAGCACCAGTTCGGGGCCGATGAAAAAGATTTGATGGGCAAGATTGTTAGGGTGAGGCCATGCCGAAGACAGCGAAGAAAACCGACAAGAAAGACAGACGGATAGAGGTTATGATCGAACCGACGTCAAGGTACGGATAAACGAGAGGGAGAGAGGCGAGATGGACGGCGGAAAGGTCGAAGGCGAGACCGCAAGTCACAGTCATCACACTCCACGAGAGCAACGCGGTCATGGCGGGGCTAGCAAGGCGGAACAAGCCACCGGTTGCGACTTTGACGGACCGTCGAGCAGATGTGGGACGCCGTAGCAACGCCAAGTGGCTTGACGGAGACGCACCGACGGGAATACCTACACCTCTCTCCCACTCTATCTATCACCCATGAGCTTCTACCTCGAGTTGTGTAATGGTCCGATGGATCATGGGCAAGAATGCCACGCTGCGGGCAAACATCGTTGGATCACAGATCCGAGGACCACAGCCTAACCCAGATCTCGCCGGGCGAAAAAAGAAAGTCAGCCAGGACCGGTACGGATAAGAACAGAGACAAGCCCTGCCGCTCCTGGGAAAGCCGGGGTGGCGTTTTTTCTTTTCTTTTTTTTCGCTTCAGAGAACCGATCTCGTGCGTGTGTGCTTGTTGTATGCGTGTGGTCTTTGGCTGTGTTGTATGTACGGAATCGCAGAAAAAAAATTGAAGATGTAAGACAGCACCCGTTCCAATGCCACGCCCATTCCATCCCATGATTTCAGGGTCGAGAACGTCCACACGCTGTGGGAAAAAAAGGCATGGCTAGCAGGGGCTCTAGTTCGAAGACGGCCTCGGTGCCTGGCAGTAGCGTCTTCGGACGAACTGGGCCAAGACAAGAAACTTGGGCTCTTCGCTCTCGCAAGATCGGAGAGAAAAATAGAAATTTTGGACGGATGCGGACGGGGCAGGACGGGTTCCCGGCCGATCCTATCTTTCATTCCTTCCATAGTCTCCATGCTGAGCCTCTCTCTCTCTCTCTCCCACCCTCCACTCTCTTCTTTCTCTCCTAGCGTAGTACCCATCTACCTACTCTTTCGGTCTCTGCGAATAGTAAGGTAGACAAGCCTACGCTCGTAAAACCCTTGGCTTCTCCGAGGTGAGGGTGAAAGCACTGCAACGTGGGGAAACCTAGACCCTTGGCATTGCTGCACCACCGCAGGTGAGCCCGTCCTCCCCTGACACACGGCCATCTTGGTGACTTCTTGGCCAGGCTTTTGCCAGGTTTGGGTGGAGTTTTCTCCTTGTAATCTAGGATCTAGCCCATCTGTCCCCCAAAGTGTATCCCATTGTGTGGTTCAAGCTCCTTTGACTGACACTCTGACCTCGAGGCCATGTGCTCTTGGCATTGACAGCTTGCCCCCTAAATACATTAGCAGCTAAAAGAACGAGCGTGGTAGTACCTAATCTAATGCAGAGCACGGAAGCATGGAAGCATAGAATACTAGAGTAGAGTATTGCCTAGGTCGGTAAGCCATATACTTCAGGTCAGAACAGACGCATAGAGACGATCCGGCAGCTTGGTATCACAAGCAAAGCTTTGACAGTCACAGAAAATCGTAGATGAAGAAACTTTAAACGTCAACTAAAACTCATCGCCGCTGGACGGAAGCAAACAAAGCCTTGCAGATGCAGCATGCAGGAGCATCAAGTCAATCGTGCACATCCCCACCGCAAGACATCGAACATCGTCACTGGGCCAGATCGATCCGAACCCGAAAGTATGCTTCCAAGTTAATCCCCAGAATCGGGAGCCAGCCGTGCCAGCCGAGCCTAAGTGAACCACGGGCGTGGCACTGGGTAAGGTAGGATAGTCATCGGGTGATGCGTTTGTGTAACATATCACGGAGACACTACTTCTCGGATCGTGTGATGGTCCACTCGCAAGCAGATTTGTTGTGCTAATGAAATGTCATTTGATTGCTGTCTTGTGCCCAACAGCATTCCATATCAGCTTCATGATCTGCGCTGACTGACGTGCCGACATTCCGGCTGCGACTTTGTTGGATAAGGTTGGGCTGTTCATAACTCCAGTACGCCCCGACGCCACACCCCTCCCTCTCCGGAATTGGTATACCTCTCAAATCCATTATCGGACCATTCGTTGTTCTTACAAGTGACGTCGCTGGAAAAGGCGAGTAGGTCTTCTCCGCATGGCTGTTTGCGGTATTCTCGGTCATCGCCAAGCGCCACAACCCTACGATACGGGCTGTCTTCCGTTCATCTGGCCATGGACTTTGCCTTCAACTCGCTCTTCGCCACAACAGCTTGAACGCCTTCTTCCCAGCGTTGTTTGTTATCGTACCGAACTAGATGCTCAACGTCCTCAAAGTATGAGGCTCGGCACGCCGAGAGCCGAGAGTTGATTGTCAGTTCAGGTTGCCGAGACCCGTTAGGGACCCGGACACGCATTTGGTGGTGTACACCAATCTTCTCATCGGTCGACCATCAGGCTTAGGCGTTCTGAGCCTTCTCGGCGGCCTTTGCCTGGGCTGCAGCAGCCATCTCCTTGGCCTTTGCGTCGGCATCATCGGCATTTGCTGAGCTGGACCCTGAGGCGCCACTGCCGCCAGCACCGTAGTCGAGTTTGAGCATGTCGTCTTCGCTGAGGAGCTCATCGATATCTGCCTTGGTGACTCCTGCGCCCTGCTCAGCTTTCTTGCGCTCCTCTTCGGCTTGTCTTTGCTTCTCTTCTTCACCTTCCTTTTTCCGGCGCTCTTCCTCTTCTTCCTGCTTCTTGGCAGCTTCTTCGGCTTGCTTCTTGGCCTCTTCAGCGGCTTTTTCTTTCTCTTCGTCCGTTGGGCCGATGCTGCCTTCTTTGTTGTCGCCCTCGCAGCGCTCGCGCTCCAACTTCATATCCATGATCAAGCTGAGCTCAGGGCAGTAGTTGAAAATCTTCTTCCGTTGCGTGGGATTCTTCCACACCTTGTCGGAAATTCCCTGGCCGCCATCCTTCACGTGGTAACCCATGGGCTTCTCCATGTAGACATCTTCTACTGCCAGAACACCCTTTTTGCCGTGGGCTACCTTTTCGCCCTGCATGACCCAGAGTCGCTTCCCGTACCATTCGTCCTCGGCTTCCGTGTCATTGTATCTTTCCTGAAATTGCAGTACTCTCTTGATCGACGAGACTCGTCGAAGAGAGAGTCCGCCATTGCCGGAGAAGCGATCATCAGGGGTCCTGTGAACGAGGTTAGCAAGGGATGAGGGTCGCGAGGGAGAACTTTCGAGAAACCTACTTGGGCGCGCCAGCCCAACTCCAGTCGAGCCACTCGTTGAGACTGGTCGGTGAGTTGGAGCAGAGGATACTGTCGGATTCGAACTTGAGGATCCATTCCACACCGGGCAGGAATTCTTCGTAAAAGCGAATGTCGGTTAACAGGCGAAAGACGTGTTCCTTGGTGTCAATCTCCCACGGCTCAGGGAGGACCATCAAGTCGAGCTTCCCGATAACCTGCTGGTGCTTGATGCCGTAGCTTCGGGCGACGCTGACAACGCTTTTGTTGGAGCCAATGAATAGAAACCTCCAATCGGGAGGCACGACTGAGGTCATGTGCAATAGCTGGGGTACGAGATGCGGGATAGGGCGCGGCTCGATAATCAATGCTAATTTGGATGCATTGTAGTTGGATCTCGGGTCTTTGCTCAGGTCGGGTTTCCAGTCAACCTTGATCTTGGGCATCTTCTGGCGGGCCTCATCCAATCTCGACTTGAACTCTGCCTTGATCATAGGCTTGTAGCTCGGTAGGAGATGAGCAAACCACCATCTGCAAACGTGGTCAGCATGTCATTCGCTGGTGAAGCTTCAGGTCAGTTGGCGACGGGACAGACGAACGTGATGGCCAGCGACGCAACTAGCAAAAGTCGGGTCTTTGTGATGGCGAAGACGCCGGAAGAACCGTTCGTGGCCCCCATATCGCTGAAAATGTGAACGTCCAGGAACGGCGCAGCAAGAGCAGGGCGCAAACGAGAGAATGGGACGGCGTCAGGGACGGTGTCGCAGTGATGAATTAGAATCGGTTGTAAAAACAAAATCGAGGCAATCGGAAGCTGGAAGTTCGGAAATTCTCTGACTTGACTGGAAGTTGCTGGTTAGAGGCGCGTCATGTCGACCACGTGTTGAAACCGCCGAGACTGAATGCCAATATGGACTTGGTTTCGTGTGTTGTGGACGTTGTGGACAGGCGGAACTCTTGGTAGTGATTCAGCTTTCCAAGGGCGCTGGCGAGGAATTCTCAGGGACTCGAGACTCGGCCGGTGCGGTTGGTCTTGGAGTTGAGGTGCAGTGCAGTAAGCAGCAGCAAGAAGAAGAGACAAGTGTCTTCCGTGGTCCAAGGGAGAGAGAAGAGGCTGCGAGGGAAAAACGAAAAACGAAATACAAGGGGTTCGCGGGCCGCTCGATAGTCCAGAGATAGAGAGGACGGCGAAGTTTGTTAGATGACGAATCGCGTCTGCAGGCTTGCGGAACGGCGCTCACTGGTGGCAGTGGGTGGTGGTTCACTACTATGTAGAGCAAGAGTCGAATGTCACCGAAATCCCACTCCTTCTAGGTACTAGGTGACTAGGTGCAGGGTCCAGGAATGGATGCCGGGAAAGAGGGGGGAAACCTGGCTTCAATCAACCGATCCCAATGTCGATAGACGGTCAACCGCCCGCTGGAAGCAGAGTCTGGAAGCAGAAGCTGGAGCCAAAAGTGAGAGAGTTAGAGAGACGCTTGGCGGAAGATGTGGGAGGAAGTGGGGCCTTACCTTACGCAGTATCCGTACGCAGTACCTAAGGTACCTAACTAAGGAAAGGTGATAGAATTCGACGAGAGGCCAAGCCTGAGGTTGAAGTTACCTTGCCGCAGTCTGTAAGGCAAGCCCATACTGGAACAGCCAGCACATGGGCGCAGGGAGACGACGGAAGGTACAAGTGACGGGCAGGTACTCGGATGTACCAGCTTCTACACGTCAACCTCCACTTCCATTTCCCATTTCCTTCTTCTTTTGGTGGTGGCATGCAGCCGTGCAGCCAGTGGAGGCAGGGAAGGGCTCCTCCCGCTAGCCCCACATTGCCTGGGTTCCTCCCTTCCATTTGCACTGGAAGCCTGAAGTCGCGAAGTCAACCACACGATCTGGGAGAGACTGCATAGCTCCTTCCTCCTTTCTTCCTCACTGGCAACTGCAAGCTGCCATTCGGTCTCGTCTTCCGGCCGAGATGCTCGTCGTCTCGAACACGACAAGGTTCAAAGTGCATTACCGCCATCAACCCAACATATACGCAGTAGGTATCAACTTTGACTGCATCCATCCTAGCATTGGGCTCTTTTGCCATCGATGAGAGCTTCATCTCGTGTTGCACCTGTTCGCCAATCCTACCACCTATCGCCCAAACTTCTGCCGTGCTGAGAACCATCATTACTCGACTACACTACATACCTAAACAGCTAACCGCCGTCTTCTGGCGCACGGCTCTCTGACAACTCCAGATGACGTACAAACGGCATGCCCGTCAGCGACAAGATTATTTCCGAGCACGCTGTCAGTCTTTCATTACTTGCAGAGAACGACCGTGCTATCGCCCAGCCCAACGTTCATTTTGATTAGCAGATTGCGCAGGTTCATTACTTCCTCACTATGGGGAAAAGGAACGCCGTGGTCAGCCAGCACTCAGGAGTGAGAGTGACATTTCTTCTTCTCGAGAGAACTGAGTCTCTTTTTTAATGAGTCGCCTCGTCCAAGACTCATTTGCGCCCGCCCCGCCCGTCGCGTTCCTCGCGTGCGACAACAAGAATGCGACCGCACAAGACAACTGTGTCAGGTGCAATTTGAAAGTTGAACCTTGAAAACGAAGCCTATTTCATTCTCTTCGTTCTTGCTTGGACGAGGCTAGCCCCAAGTCCAAGTAAGCCCTGAGGATGCCCAGCAGGGACCATGGACCGAGCCCTGCATTGGGCTGTGCCGCTACAGACTTGAGAAAGCTTCCATGTTTGTCGGCAATAGGTATTCATACGGATACTGCTTACAGGCTGACAGGGCATCGTACATGCATGCGTGCGGCGAAGCAGCGGAAAGCAGCACAGTCGCTCGCTTATCCACAACCTCTCGTCTTTAGTCTCTCACAGAATGTCACTGGTCTCAGTCCGATTGTCGTGCATGTGAGGAACAAGTTGACTGTGGCGAGTTTAGCTGACTGCCACCAGTACTATTGTAGGTATCACGGTGCGTCTGTACGAGCACTGTACGCCGTTCCAACCTTCAACATGCTTTCGTTGCAGCAAAGTTTAAGTGGAAGTCAGTCGTCGTATCGATGCTTTTCGAAACTTGAGACATGGGGCTTGCGCGGTCTCCCTTGTGCGCCCTTACATAATAATCTCCGTGGCGAGGAGTTGAGATTAAATCGACGTTGGACGGTTGAACTCTCAAAAAGACTATCACGGAATCACCACTTGGTGCGAGGCTGCCCCTTTGCGACAGTTCGCTTGGCCATGAACTGGTTATTCACTGGCGACTGATCTGAAGCTGGCCTGCCTGCCTGGGTGCTACGGTATACACTACGCAGTACAACGTACCGACTACCGTCCCATTGGGCGCCTTGGGTCCAACCCTGGTCTTTAATGCAGCCGGATTATGGGTGTCACGGCCGGCGATACCGAGAGACCGGCTCGGGGTGGTGATTGTTGGTTGCGCTGCACGAAATAGCTGGGCATGGTACCCCCTAGGTTGGGGTCGCTTTGTTTGGGGATGGGGAACTCTTGGCTGGGATGAGGCTGTAAATATCCTCGAGCTCGGTTCTTGAATCAGGACATCCGTAACATCATGGGACGAAAGTGCCCGTTTGTCCCGATTTCCTCATGGGTATGGAGTTCAGACTACAATTTAGCCGCTTCATTCTCGTGAGGGAAAGCTGACGCTGACTTGCGACTTGCTGTGGCGCTTCGTATCCAAGTATCGTCCTCGCTATTCCATGCAGGTCAAAATGGGAGGGAGGGGCGATGGTGGCGTGACGTTCCGTGTCCGTCCCTCCAGATTGCCTCTTGGGATGGAGAAAAGAGGGATGTATCGGTATATGTGTACTCATGGTCGGGCGAGCGCCTGATGGTGTGGCCTGGAGACAGACAGACAGACTGGACGATCAGGCTCCCTGATTGCTTGCCAGGATTACCAGTCGCCATCGCCATCGCTATCGCACCCGACCATCGAATCGAACGTGCCTAGGTAGTGGAGGGTCGAGAGAAGGGAAAAGGTACTTGCAGGTACATGGCTGATACTCGACCCAAATTAGACACTGCAACAGTGGCTGGCTGCATTGCGCGGTTTGACAAGGGCTGGGCTACGGACGGCGACGTGGGCAGCAAGGGAAGCCGGCAAGATTCATCGACGCGGCCACCGGGGGGGCTCCAATGTTGCTTTTGGAGACGCTGGCCCCAAAGTAGCTCACTAGAACATCTCATTGGCTTCCCTTTGCTTGAAACTTCCACGACCCAGGGCCTGGCCTGTTGATTGGAATCCGCTGCCACATCTCTCCCAAAGGTCTCCAGTTTCTCGCGCTGGTCTTTTTTTTCCCGTCCGGCCCCGGGCTGGCGTGGACACCTGCCAAGGAAAGGGGGGGAAAAGGGTCCGGAGGAGTGGAGGGAAAGTGAATGAGCATGGAAGCAGCAGGCTACCTTACACTAGAGTCTACACTAGAGCAGCAAGCAGCCTTCGCCCTGGGAATTGAAGGCGAAGGCAAGGGGCGTCCTGTCTTTTCATCAGATAATTCCATCCGTCCCTCGTTGCGTCCTTAGTCGCTGTCGAGGGAGGAGCTGCCACACACCGTATCACTATTCGTACCTTCCTCAGGGAAAGGTAGTGGTGCATGTGCAAATCGTACCTTCTCAAAGTTCCCCATCACTCCTTCCCTTCATCCGCTTGTCTTTTTCTTGATTCCTCCCTCCCTCTCTCCTCTCCCCTTCACTTCTGAACTTCAGACCTTCTGTTCAACACACGCACCGAATTCACCATTCGGGCTACGACCAGTCGACCGCGCGAGTAGCTTGTCTATTCGACCAGAGTCAGCTGTTGTCGTCGTCGTCACCAGCCGCAGGACCGGACATGCCTTAATTCCCCTGCAACGCTACCGACGCATCCACGCCATTGACACTTGCGTAATCTCTGTGGACCGGACGGATCTGCGACTCGCGAGTAAACGCCCGCTCTCGAAGCCGCTCCAGGCTTGAGTAGCCTCTGCGACTTGAAATCTCTCTGAAATCGCTTTTCATTACATCCGCTCTCTGTCTCCATCTTCAACGTCCACCCAGGCCCTTTCCGCCATTTTGTGGCCTTCTCGTCCTAACCATGGCCTCGCTACCACGGCCTGCTGTCGGCGGCGAGAAGACCATGACAGACGTCTGGCAGCACACCAAGGCCCTGCTCCTCTCGGTTTGGGCCTTGACGAGCCGCCGCATGAGAGTCTTTGGCGCTTTCGTCCTCTTCCTGTAAGTCAACGACCCCAGAAACTCCTGCTTGGCTCCTTTGTGATGTTAACGAGTACTGACCGTATCGTGTTAGTGGTTTCTCGATATGGCTATCGCTGCCTACCCTCAAGACGATGACCGTACCGCAAATCTCCCTGGAATACGCACATTCACCCTACAACCATTCCAAAGTAGCTCTTCTCGTCGAGAACCGCGCCAATCCGATTCTTGCGCCATTGATGCTGCACTTCATTTCCGTAGTGCCTCCCGACTGGCGCTTTCGCTTCATGGGCTCTGTTGAGTCCGTCAAGTCCATCAACTCGTCCGTTGCGATTCGTGAGCAAGTCGCCGCCGGCAAGCTCGACCTGACATACATTCCCTCCAACATGAGCACGGCTGGTCAGGAGATGATTAGTCGGTTCTTGACCAACCTGTGGCTGTACGAGACCGTCCTGCAGCCTGCCGAGTGGCTCCTCGTGTTCCAGACCGACAGCATCCTCTGCGCCAACAGTAAGCAGAACATCAACGACTACCTCGAATATGATTGGATTGGAGCCCCGTGGAACCCTGGCGGCAGGTGGGGTGGCAATGGTGGCCTCTCCATCCGTCGTGTCAGCGCCATGATTGATATCCTCCGAAACCAGAAGCGTGTTGACGGATCTGAACCTGAGGACGTCTGGCTCGCTGAGCGCCTTGCCCACCGACCTGGAAGCAAGGTCGCTAACGGCACTGTATCATTGACGTTCAGCGGCGAGATGCACTCCGGCGAAGGCACAAAGATCAACAAAGGAGGAGCGAACGCGACACTCGAGGCTGCGGCAGAGGGTGAACTCGTCTCAGGCATTGACGATTACCGTGAGGGCTTTTACGAGCCCATGGGCTATCACACCGGTGGTAGTGGTATCTGGCTTCACAGCGCCATCTGGGGTACTCCAGCGCTACGTAAACACATTTGGGACTACTGTCCTGAGGTCAAGCTTACGCTGGCTATGGACGCAGCCAAATACGTTCCCGGTAATTGTAAGGCCAAGTGGAAGAGAGGCCTTGATGGTCTTGAGGAGCTTGAGACGGAAAGCGATAGCGGAGAGAATGAAGAAGGCGCGACGGATCCGCAATACCCATTTGGCTCAGAGACCATTGATGGAAAGGAGTACCCGAACTTGCCGCCTAGCCTGATGGCATGGTGATAGCTGTCCAGCTGTCAAGAAGCCCTCTTATCGCAGCATCAATGCATCGCGATGGATCTGGGACGACATAACGGCACCGCCGTAAAGTTTGTTACATTACAGGAACTTGGTAGCATAGGATTTGGCTTGGCGTTTGGAGGTCATCTTGGTCCTGCAAGGAAATGGAACCAGATAGCTCAAGAAATGAGTCATGTAAGGCATAGGTCATTAACTTTGAACGAACCGTTGAGACAACTGCAACCGTGCGGTGGACAAGTGAATTCCGAAGTGTGCCGCTTGCCGGAGCATAGTTGCGTTAATTATTGATACTCATTGCTTCCTAGGCGTTACGTCTGTCAAATGACCCCCACGTCTGAAGCTTTGTGGGAAGGCACTCTACTTGAATTATGAGAGGCGCAGTTTCAAACTTTCTTTTGAAGTACGATCCCTGCAGGATGCGACTGCTCACTGCAATTAGACGGATGCAGTCAATACGCAGTATGGCTTCTGCACATGGGAGATTCTAGTCATGCTGGAGCTTTGAATGCGATAATGTTCATTCGAGTTTGATAAAATCATTATCCACGCGCTACCTTGTCTTGAGTCTGCCCCCGGGCGGTGAGATGCCTACTCGAATGGAAGTACTGTATGCCTTTACTCGAGTTCACCTTGAACCTTTAAAGCTTTTGACTTTTTTTTTTTTTTTTTTCGAGTCTTTCCAGGGCTGCAGAGAAGCAGTTGCGGCAAGTTACACGCGCGCACGTCTCGGTGTGGCACGGCCCGCATACCGGTACTGCAAGCTACCTCAGGACAGACGCCCTCTGGAATGCAATGCTCTGTAAAGGTAAGGTATACACGGGGATGGATGCCTGAGGGAGGATAAAATCGCCTTTTTTGGCTATATGTTTTCTTTCTTTGTTTGTTTGTTTGAATAAGCGTAGATCCGGCTATTATTCTACCAATCCAGGAATGCAGTGGAAGAAAAGGGTCTGGGGAGGTCCTCGGTTTTTCTACTAGGAACAAAATGTGACGTGTGAGGATTTGGAAGGATAACCTGGTGCCGCCTGGTTGACGCGGAGAAGAGCGGCAGCGGTTGAGGAGCTCGAGCGGGACGATTTGCTTGTACGTATCCGTAAATGTGCCATGAGGACATCGACTGTAGTATCGGGAGGTAGATTTGGGAGACTTGACAATTAGCCGTCGGATTTGACTCGACGATGATAGGAACCGAGGCCGACGGCAATCAAAACCACACGGAAAGACCCAGGTCAGGATAGAAACGTAGTTATATAATTATTACTTAGAGCACGTAACCCCCGCTTCCGAGACATTGCCACTCGCGCACGCCGGTGCTCTCCTCCAGTTCGACGCACCACCACAGCACCTCCTTCGCCTTGTCTACCTGCCCGCTCTCCTCGTGAGCCCGGGCCAGCGCGAACCAGGCCTCTGCGTTATTCCATGCGCTGCCGAGCTTCGTCAGGGAAGAAAGGAGACCATACGCGCGGTCGCGAGCGGCGAGGCGGTCAATGGTCGGGACCGAGGTCGCCTTGTACGGCGCCGGCAGCTTGTCGTCCGAGTCGGACCTCTCCACCGACTTGACCGACGATGCCGTCGTCGCGGATTGATGACCGTTTGTCTTGCCGGCGGGGCCTACGCCCGAGGCGCCGGAGCCCAGACCCAGTGGTTCTGACGGGAGACCGTGCTGGGGGACAGCAATCTTTGGGAGATTTGGTGGCGGCAGCGAGAGGCTGGAGACGTTCTCCGGCACACTGAGTGTGGGAATGGCCGGCGGAGGCAGGACTTTCTCGCTGTAAATGTCGAGCAAAATATCGGACAGGCCAACGATGGCTGCTGGGTGATCGGGGTAATGGGTGAGGGCCATCTCAAAGTCTGACCGGGCCAAGTAGGGTGCGCCCTTTGCCAAAGAAAGATAGCCGAGCTATACAAGTTGTTAGTTGGGTCAATTTGCACATGATCAAGCATATAACTCACCTCCGCCCACACGTCTCCGAGCAGCTCGTCGACGCCCTTCTTCTCGGCCCAGCTGTTGCCCCTCATTGACAGAGAGCCTGTAGGATCCTTGGCTACTTCAGCCTCGAGTATCCCTACAAGCTTTTGCGCTTCTGAGATGGCTCCCTTGCTGTCCTCAAACATGTTGGCTCGACGGTAGAATCCCGCAATCATTAACCACACCTTGACCAGCAGCACAGCTCTTTGCCTCCGCTCCATGTCCTGGGGGAAGTGGATCAGCGGCAACGGGTTTGATATGGTGTAAGTGCCACTGGCAGAGATTTCGGAGAAATTTGTTGATCGTGATTTCTGGGAGGTGTAAGACTCCAAGTGATGGAGTGAACGTCCTCGTGACACAGAAGATGCCATTGAAGCCTGACGGTTGCCTGTGAGAGGGAAGAACTCGGACTGCTGCAGTTCATCGGCTGGGGTGAAGAAGACCTCTCCGTCAACCACCGTCGGTCCATGTGGATTAGTGCCTGCGCTACTGACACTCGCTGTCCTCTTGCGGCCGCTGCTGCTATCTCGCTTGCGTAAGCTGTGTCTTTTGCCAGATTCACTTCTCGATCGGCGCGTCAGACTGGAAAGACGCCGCGTTCGCGTCTCTGTTGGTGATCCGTTCTCTTGCGTGACTTGTATCGTCGGGGCTGCAACGCTGGCTTGTGTCTGTGAGGTTTGGGGGCGGGACGGCGTGACTGTTTTCTCCGTTTCGGCTATACTGGGTTGCCGCGTTCGTGTAGAGCCGAAGAAGCTTCCCTTTATACTTCTCAGCGTGCCGGCTGAGCTCTTTGGCACCTGCATCGTGTCAACAGCCTTGGGTGGTTGCAAAGTTGGCTTGGCCTCGAGGTTTCCGAATAGCCTTGTGAAAAGAGACAGTAGCTCAGGGCAGGCGTTAACGGCAATGTCTGGCCCTTCAAGCAACTCAATGATGGCGATTTGTGTCATCTTGGCCTCGAGAACACTCTCCTTTTCTGTATCATCCATGTCGTCCACTACTCCCTTCCGTTCATTAGCAATCTTTTCGTCCTGAGCTTCGGCCTCGTTAAGGTGTTCGCTCTTGAAGTGGATATCCTGTCTTCCGAATAGGACTGAGGGGTCGCCAAACTGCTCGAAAGCTCCATCGCAAGCCTTGGCTGCCATGTTGTAATCCTGTCTTGCGCTCAATAAGAGTGCCAAAAGATGCCATAGGGGAATCAGAGAACGCTCCTGCCAGTACGCGCCGTGGTATAGATCTTGCTCTTCGTCAGCAGACTTGTTAGAGATGAGTGCCGTCTTGACAATGTCAATCGCCGGGGTCAAATCTCGACGCTCAGCGAGTAATAGGCCAAGAGCAAACAGACTGCGAACATCACGAGTACGGCCGAGTTCCGGGGACAAGGATTTCCTTAGGCATCTGATCGCCTTTGTCTGAATCTCAGTTCGAGATGCCGCGTCGTACGTTGTTCTTGACCACTGGGCTTGAGAAAGGCCGATTGCCTGCCAAGACAATGCAATCAGGTGAGGCCGAATCTTGGGATGAAGGGTAGTCGCTTCGTCTTCTTCCGGAACAGTGTTTTCACTTTCAATGCCATTCCTCAGCTGCGGTAGTCTGGATAACCAGTCCTCTAGCTCATTGCCAATAACACGGGCTTTATCGATGGCTTCTCTTCCACCGTAGCGGCAAAGCGCCAAGATGCATTGTGACATGGTCTCAAGAACTGTGCCGTCGTCGTCGAGGTTGGACTCCAAGTGGCCGGTTTTGTCCACCCTGGCCTTGCCGTGTCTGACAAGATCGAGATACGAGTCAAAAGCCTTGAAGGCCAGGTCGAACTCCGCCACAGCCAGGTGAACAGTGAAGAGACATCGTAGGATTGCGGTTGAGTGGTACGTCTTGGTTGCTGCGGCATACAGAGTGTCGAGAACACCTCTGCTGAGGCTCTCGCGGCCACCCTGGCCTAGGTCCTTTTCGGCCCAACCGCGACCACAAAGAATGGACCAATTTCTGACAACAGCCTTGATGAAGGATTCGACTTCTTCTCTCGTCTCGTCGGCGCGGGGGAAGCTGGTTTCGCTAATGAGGAGCGCCTCATAAGCAGCCTCGGTCTTCTTCAGCTCGACCCTCAGCTGGTTTCGCGTGGATGAAGCTTCGTTTGTGATTTTGCCGATGAATCCTGCTGGGAATGGGATGTCAAGCTCGAGGATCGTTGACAACGCCAAATAGTACTCGAGCCACACCTGTCGTCTCGGCACCGAGCCCCTGTAACCATACCCCCCCGTAACCGGCCCTGTCATCGACTCCCAGTATCTAGCCCAAGATCGGAAGCAGGCGACCGAGTTAGGGTCCGCAAGTGACCTCTCGTTCGAACGGAGAGCGTCGCTTTGAAGCACACAGTACTCGGTCAGAAACAGTTCAGACCAGACTTTGAATTGCTTGTGGGCGGTTCGGGGACTCGGAGCCATAGATACGGATGGCAGTACGGAATCGAAAACGGAGAGAGCCTCGGCTGTCTTTTGGGTGTGAGCAAGGCAGTTTGCCTTGATGACGGCGGCCTTCAAAGCGCTGATGTTGGTCCATTCCGACTTATCGGCGGTGCCCAGCTCCTCCTCAATGTTCTGAGGTAGCTTGACCGCTGCCTGGTCGACCTCTCCAACCACCCAATGCAACAAGCCAGCGCAGACCTGGGCCTGAAATTTGTCTTCGGGGTGACTTGTTTCCCCGTCTATGGCGGCCTGAAGCTTTGATTGAACGTTGTCGGCATCGAGATCCTTGGCGGACACAGAGGTGGAAGGTCGTCCGGCACCAGAAGGGTCGGTGGCTTTTGCGATGGCGCATTCCGTCTCGGCGGCCAAGGTCAGACCTAGAGGGGACTCGGTGTCAGTAAGGAGGGTATCGCGGCGTTTGCGTGCTTGTTTCGAGGCAACGGACAGGCTCGGTCAGGCGCATGTTTCCTGATTTTGCGTACGAACTCGGGGACGGCGCTCCAATTGCCCTCGCACCGGGCATCGTCGAGGGCCTTGATGTAGTGGGCGGCCTTGTTCGGATCGGGCTACGAAGAGGGAGGAAGAAACACTCAGTCAGCTCCAAGGTCTCGACGTCATTTGAGGTCAAAGCCAGGGGAGGTCTAGACAGCAGCCCCTGGAGACCCAGAGGAGGGACAAGGAAGCACTCACAGCCATTTTGCGATACTGAAGCCTGTGCCAGTGATGGGACAGAAGTGCAAACCAATCCTACTAGCAGCGCATTTGAGCCCGCTGCATTGTTTTGTTGAAGATATCCTAGGGGGCAGGGCAGGGTGGGTTGGCGATGTTCGGTACCCAAGAATGGCTTAATTAGGAGAAGGCACGTTGCGTAAGTGATTGGAGCGACGCGATGGACACGCCCGCTTGTTTGACAGTGCGACTGCCACCAAAGGCCCAGGAAATCAAGGTACTGCGCAAGGTAGGTACGTTGACCGGCAGAAAAGTGCTGGCTGCAGCACAAGCTTGTGAACAGGAGAGCAGGACAGAGCACCAAATCCCACCAAGACCAGCACCACTAGCCTCCAGGTTGTAGGTCCCTTGATTGACATTTGGGGGAGCACGGGCCAGTCGGCCACCGGGCGGTGTCCAGGCCCTGCCAGGATGGCATCTGAAGACTGGACTCGACCGCCTAGCAGGGGTATGATGGTGGATCGACTATGACCAATCAAACTCAGCATTGCTTGTCGCTGGGGAGGATACATTCGATACGTACCTTCACTTACAGGAAAAAAGTTTCATTCAGCATCAACGGCAGGTGAATTCTTGGGCTGTGATCCGAGATATTGCCAGTTCCCTCTCACTACGGCAGCTCAATCACACAAAGGAGATCTTTCAATTGGTTTCTTATCTTATACCATTCAACTATAGCCGCACGAAAAAAATGTCTCTTTCTCTTCCCCCGGATCTCAAGGTCCTATGCCGTAAGTTGACAACCACACCACCGGCTCAACTTCCTCACTCAATCCCGGCCTTCATCAACCACGTCCTTCGTTGCAAAGATGCCTTATCTGCGCCCCATGATCCCAAAGCCTCATCTGAGGTCTCGAGTTTGGTTCATAAATTGAGAACCATCATTACGACTTTGCTCAATGGCAAGAGTGCCATGGGCCGCTTCACCGGCGCAACTCTCGTCAAGGCTGTTGTTGATGTTGGTGGCTGGGAGTGTCTTAAGGAGTCTGGCAATTGGGTTCGAGGGCTTTTGGGAATGCTTCAGGTAAGCGAGGTCCCGTTATTTCTCTCTCGATATGAATACTAACACTGCATTGTAGAAGAGCGACCCATTCCCGGTCAAGGAGATTGCCATTGTCACCCTCGTGCGCATATACAGTCTTATCAACAGCTACCAAACTCTCACCAGAGAAATCGCCACGCCCACGATCCCGACCTTCTTCAACGCATGTCTTCAGATGATCAAGCTCCCGAACCCAGGTCAGCGCCTCAAGACGCCGCTCGCTGTCGTTGAGACTGTCCTGGACGCCTTCTCCGCCATGATTCCCCTGTATCCGACGACCTGCCGCCCCTTCAACGGCCAGATCAGGACGGCCATCAAGCCCTACTTGGCGCCCACCTCTTCCGATGGAGCCACGATCCCCCAGTCTCTCCGCCGGGCAAGCAGACATTTGGCCATCTCTCTACCGCTCACCACGGCAGGCAAGACGGGACCCAGCGACGATTGGGTCAAGCTGGTAGACGAGCTGCGCAAGGACTTTCACTTTACCGCTGATCAGGTCTTCCGCGCCGTGCAGGAATCATGGGAAGCCTCGGCGGTGTACACCCGCTCCAAGGTGGACTTTGATATCCCGCCGCAAGGTTTGGAGATGGGGGATCAGCTCCCCAACTGGACTGGAATCTCTGCTGGCCGCGACAGACTCGTCGGCTTGCTGCAATACATGGCAGACGCCCTCCGCTACTCGACCAAGACCCCCGTCACAATTCCCATTGCGGCTCTCATGGACATGGTCTCGCGTGTATCGTTGATCAGCCGCAACTCCAAGTCACAAGCATGGGACCAGGCGCTCGAGACACAGCCTGCCGTCGGAAGGGAAGAAAAGGAGGAGCTGTGGGCCGCGATGCCCGACATACACGTCGCCGCTCTGGAACTACTCTTGGTCCTGGTGCAAAGGCTAGAGAACAACGCGCTTTCGACCATCCCAGAGATACACGACAACATGATCCTCGTCTTCCGCTCCGGTATCGACATCCCCGCCATCCGCGCCGCAACGTACAAGCTCCTCAATGAGACCCTTCCTATTGCCGGCCCTGGCCTGCAAAAGCTCACCGTCGAGGCCCTCGGCATCGTCTCCCTCGCCTGCTGTAGAGACATCCAGCAAGAGTCAGGCCACATCCAAAAAGTCAAGCCGGCAACCAACAACAAGACCGCAGCCGACACCAAGAAGAACACCATCGCCGCCAACGCAGATCTCTTCCTCCCCACGCAAGCCAACACCGCAGACGCGACCACCTCATCCTCGAAACAGACCCTCATCGCAAAGGACCACATCGCCGCCGCCGACGCCCTCCTTGCCAGCCTCTTGTCCCACCTGCCCCAGCAACACCTCAAGCCGGGCCTCCGCGGCCTCCTCGACCAAACCGCCATCCTGTCGCGCAACAAGGCCGCCATGCTCGCCAGCGTCCTGAACCCCTACACCAACCAGGGCGGCGCCATGTTCCCCAGCATCCTGCCCTACCTCACACAGCAGTACCCCCGCGACCAAGGCGTCGAAATCCTCCGCTCCAACATCCGCACCTCCCCCGCGCAACCCCCGGCGGACGCGCTCGATGGCATCACCGCCACGCTCGAGGAGCTCGAGGCCGAGGAGGAAGCCAAGGACGCCGACGACGAGGAGATCCTCGCCGAGATCCAGGTCGCGGGCGACGCGCAGGACGCAGAGATGAAGGATGCCGCCACCACCAACACAGCCAGCACCATTGTCGTTGCGGGTGACGAGGACGGCGACATCGTCACGTCCACCAAGACCGAGGTCGTCAATCCCTTCGCCGTCACCTCGGCGCAGAAGCGCAAGCTCCAAGACGAGGGCGCGGGCGCCCCGAGCCCGCCCAAGAGACAGAGCGTGGAGAGAAAAGAGGTTGAAAAGACGATGGTGGCTGCTGCGGCGCCGGAACCAGTGGCCGCCAAGCCGGCCGAGGAAGCGGATGACGACAGCGACGATGAAAGCGTGCACCTCAACATGGACCTTGACGATGATGAAGAGGAAGAGGAGGAGGATGACGAGTGAGACTGAGTGAATGAATGAGAGAGAAGGCAAGAAGACAAGAAAAAGGATTCATATTGTTGTCAATTTAGATGGACATAATACCCCCACTGGAGACGAGAGATTCCCTGGGCGAACGCAACCAAAAAGTTTGAGTGATTTGGATATTTGTTATAGTAGAGGCCTATCGACGTCTTGCAAGTCGAGCCCGGTATTTTGTACATGATACTGTTTGGTGAAAAGGTCCAGTATCCAAGGCCGTTGCGGCCCGACTTATTCTGCAAAGTCTTTTTTGTATAAGGTGTATGTTTGGCCCAACCACACCCCGATAACTAGCCAAGAGGGCTGTTTGCAATCCCTCCCCCCTTCTTTCAAAACGCCGCTGTATGAAGGATATTTGCCCCCTCCCTGATCGTCGCGATCGCGACGGCAACCCATTTTGTGAAATAGTGAACATTCGGACCAAAGAGACCCCCCCCCAAAAATTAGGAAAAGAATACCCCACGCCCCATAACTCAATCCCGCAACCAAGCCCTCCGCTTCTCCTCCTTCTTGGCCCTTCGCTTCTCCTTGAACTGCTTGAGCTCAGACTTGCTGGGCTTCTTGCCGCTCCGCTCGGCCTTGAGACTCCTTCCGTTGTGCGAGTTGGCCGCGGCGTCGACGTCGAAAAAGGCATTCATCTGTCGCCGGCTCTTGGCCTCGTCCGTGTGGCGGTCGGGCCCGTCGTCCAGCGTCTGGAACTGGCCGGTGAAGCGGTTGAACTGCGCCATCGCGCCGTACTCGCCGCCGTTGATCGCAGAGGCGGACGTCTGGGCAGTTTCGTCCTCGTCGGCCGCGCTGCCCTTTGCGTACCACGCGTTCGGGTCGTAGTCGCCGTGAATGGCTGGGTTGTAGCCGCCGGCTGGAGGGGCGTCGTTCTTTGGGAGGGGAGGAGGACCTGAGAGTGTCGCGGTCGCGGAGGCGGTCGTGCCTGGTGCTCCTGGTGCTGCTGCTGCTGGTGTTGCGCCGCCGGAAGTGGGTACGCGAGGGTTGTCCCATTGCGACGCGCCCGTGATGCGGTTGTAGAAGTAGTATGCCTGGGCTGTAGGATCCCACTGGAAGTCCCAGCCGTCGTCTTGTGTCGCTGGAGGAGCTCCGGCGGGTAGGGGCGGCGCCTCGTTGGGGAGGGGTGGCGCATCGGTGGATGAAGTAGGATTATCGTCGCGAGCGTCGGTAGGAGCGGGAGAGCCAATTGAGCTGGCCTCGCCGGACTCTGGGGAGCTCGAGTCTCGTTTCGAGCTTTCGTCTCTATCGCCCTTGGGTGAAGTCGATTTTGAGTCGTTCTCGTTCTCGGTGGGCTCTTGCTTGAGGTCGGAGGCATCATCGGCCGGTGTGCTTTGTTCCGGCTCAGCCTTGCGCGGGGAGGCGGCTTGGGGAGAGTCTGACGCCATGGTTTCAAAGTCGGAATGCAGGGTTTAATGAAGTGGTGTGAGTCGGATAGGTTGTCTTGTCGCGTGTGCGTGTGGGCGATTGGAGAGTGCTTGTCACCGGGTAATAATAGAATATCGACCCAGCAGGAGCTTCATCTCTTGAATGGGAAAAATGGTGATGTTGAACCACGCTTTGGGTGGAGTTGGAGTAGCAACGAAAGAGAAAGCTGGAAAAGGTACGGTTCGAGTCGCAAGTTTGACTGTGCTCAGAAGAGAACAGTGCAGTGCAGTTGTCCCACCTGAAATTTGGTAGAGACAAGGAAGATGCAAAATGACGGCACGGCGATTGACAGGCAGGCGGGTGACCTGCGCCGGGGTATCCGTGGTCACACTGTGTGTGTCGCTGGTCAAGGCAGGCTGACTAAGTTGGATTACTGTGTGGAGTGGGGGTGGTTTGTTTGCTTCTTCAAGCGGAAGCCCCCGGCCCAGAATGGAAGCGTTCAGTTCCTGCCATGGAAAGAACCTGAAGTAAAAGGCACGTACCGGATTGACCACCACCTTCCATTCCGTCACGGCGGAACACTGCGGAACACTGCACAGCACTGCGTGACACTGCACTGAGGAGGAGTCTGTCCAAAGATTGGGGACTGCAAGTGCTGCAAGTTCTGGCGCAATTGGATCGAAAAGAGACTGGACGGGACGTGGCCGCCACAGCGGTGCAGCAGGGCGGCAGGGCCAGCAGCACGTTGAGATATCCCCAGTTAAATAGGCCCTTCCAGACCATTTGACTGGACGGCAGATTGAACAACGGAGGCAGATCCGGACCACGATTCGGTTTGATTACCTTACCCTAAGGTAAGGTAGCTTGCCGGAGGAGAAGGAAGAAGACCTAGGAGGAGGCAGTTTGCGAAATAGGTACATGACTCTGCATTCTCGTGGGCTCTTGTTTACTCTATTTTCTCTTTCTCGCCGTCGCCTTTCCTCTTCCCTCTCTGGCGTTCCCCCCCTCATCTCTCCCCATCTATCTATCCCACCTCACCCGTTAGGTTGTTTCCTCTTCTCTTCTTCCAAAAAAAGAGAAAAAAGTGCGAGAGAAAGGTCTCTGCAGCTTGGCCAACCTCTGTCTCAGCTCCTTTCGAATACCTGCATACCATCCATCTCACCGCATTGGTTGCCAGCCAGCCTTCCACACCCTCATCGCACTATTCCAGCCGACATTCACAACCCTCACTGGGCGCCGCATCGAAGTCTTGTTGGAACCGAGAGCCAATGTCGACGTCTTCCGCAAGCCATCGTCTTCACGTGCTGCCTTGCTCTCCCCATTGGGACGGTTGTTTGTTCTCCTCTGCCTGCCGCTCACCAGCTTCTCGATCGGTTATTATGCTGTCTTTGCCTCTCGTCTGTATGCCCAATACCCCTCACTTTTCTTTCGTCGCGAGCGGTCAGTCTCGTTATACGACCCTGGACGAAACAGCCTTCCCATGACCTCCCTCTACCTACAGCCCATATACAACATCTACGACAACATCTCCTCGCAAAGTCACAGCCTCAAGTCTGCCTAGGTAGCTCCTCGTGGCACCAGTCCGGCCGCACTAGCTGCGAGGCCGTTGGCTGTCATGTCTGATCAGGTCAAGCCCCAGCCGTTGCGGCCTCTACTCCCGGCACCAAAAGCCTCGCAGCCTGCTTCTCCTTCTCTTCCTCCAGCACGCTTCCTTCCAGCTCAATCATCAGTCAAGAAGCGTCTGCCGAGTACCAAGGTTGCTTGTAACGCTTGTCGGTCCAAGAAAAAAGCAGTAAGCATAAACCTCTTATCTTGGTACTATGGCAGGTCCTCTTGACTCGTTTCAAGCGCTGACATCCTCAATCAAGTGTGACGGTAAACGCCCTTCGTGTAAGGCGTGTACAGAACTGAAGACACAATGTGTCTACATCAGCGCTAATGAGACGGAGACAGCCGCTATGGCTTTAAAGAGGGAAAATCAAATGCTTCGAGAAATGTTGAGCCAGCTCACGGCAATGCCGGATGATGTTGCCCACCAGACATTGAAGAAGCTCAAGTTCGCCGTCGACCCTTACGCTGCTCTTCGCGCCATAAGGCCGTCGGGGCCAAGAGATGCCCGGGAGATCCTGCCTCATATCTCGTCCAATGTCGAGTTTGAACTCACGCGACGCCATCCCATCTTGTATCCCCAGACTCGGAGATTAGGTCGTCTCGAGATGCCCGAGGATGTCGACTCTAGGCCTTCCAAACTCGCTCGGGTTGAGGACGTGTCCGAAGAGGCTTCAATTCTCGAGGACCGTCAAGCACCGGAATACCCTACTGTGGCTGAAATCCTGGAAGATGATCCCTCTACAGCCTCTCCAAGGCCTTCTCGAACATTTGACTCGGCATTCTTTGTTCCACCAATGGGCCCTATTCCCCCGCCGACGCCGCGCATTCGCAACGAGCCTCGCCTGAAAGATTTGAACATCGCCTTCTGGACCGTAGTGCCCATCAGTAATCAGGACGCAGCAGAAGTCATCTCTCTATATCTCGAAACAGATCATCCGATCTTGGGCTTGTTTGATGCTGATCTGTTCCTGGACGACTTGGTCTCCGGAGAAGTTCGGTACTGCTCTTCACTGCTCGTCAATGCTCTGCTTGCTTTCGCTTGTGTCAGTTATCCCCTATTCCCCCTTCTCTCAGAATAATGTCATTGATTGTCTTTACCAGCAAGCGTATGCGGCAAAGCAACCTGAAGCGTCTCGGTGGAGTCAAGAACTGGAGGACGAGTCAAATAAGCTCTGGCATGCGCAAAACGATGATACCCTGCCTACCATTGCAGCTTTGACCTTCTTGATCCAGTCCAGCGGCTGCAATGGCAATGGCGAACTCAATGTCAAGTTCGTCAAAGATACAGTAGCTATGGCGAAACGTCTGAGACTCTTTGGGTGTCCCGATGCATATACCTTCGTAGACTTAAATCGTCTCTCAGAACCACAGGCGAGGGCAACAGCTCAAGTTGCCTGGGGAGTTTTCAATACTTTAAGGTAAGGCCATACTCAAAAGTCTTCAGTTCCAAGTGAGCATAGCTGACGAAAAGCGCAGTATGACAGCCCAATTCTGTTTACCAGCGACTACTGAGTACCCTCCGACTCTTCCCATCCCAGGCAAAGCTAGGCTAGGGAAATCAACGACCGGGTCTGAGCACGAGCATAACAGCAGCGCGAATAGTACAGCGCCCTCGTCAGACTCGGATGCTCGTTCCCAGTCTCGAAATCGCACCAAGAGACGGCGATCTCCTGCCATATCAGACACTTTCGCCGCCTTTTGCGAATTATGGGTCATTTCCTCGCAAATCACTTGGGTTTACCAGCATGATACAAGTCCGGGTCATTCATCCCAGGCTTTTGCACTGGAAAAGTACAGTAAACTACTGTCTTGGGCAGATAATTTGTCTGAAAGTATGGAACGTGACGAGCACAGCCCATCTCATGTGCTTACCTGCCAGTAAGTTGACCTTTCCTTTTTTGTCCCGTCAGTGTACGGCGTGCGAATTAACAACCTTCACAGCATGTGGTTCCACGGGACTGTGCTCTACCTCTTCAGGCCGTTCATCCCAAGCGACAAACAGCATGGCTTCAAAGTCTGGTCACCGTCAGCCGACCAGATACCTGCCTTTTTCGCGGCCTCCGTCGAGCAACTCAAAGACCTCGTCGAGGTGTACGCGTTGTACCCGGAATCGACGTACAGCATCTTTGGGCACACTGCTCTCATCCATGTAGCCAACGCCGTAGCTAGCGACATAACGAATCCAGAGTGGCGACCCTACTTTCTTAGCTGCATCCGCGCCTACCAGGCCCTGTACAGCTCGTTTACCGTTGCCGAAGTGATTGCCGGGGGTCTCCTTTCCATGGTCGTCAGAAAGGGAGGCATGGACATGACGGAAGCCCTAGGACTGCTGGAGGACCTCAGATCTCGCAAGGGACCCAGGGCGGGCGGCCGGGCGACTGGCATGTTTGTGACTGATCTCGACCTCGCCGTGACGGACCGCGAGGCGGCGAGGGTTGATCGCTTGATTGAGAACTTTGAAGAGATGACCATCTTGGATGAATTTACTCAAGGTGTCATTTGAGGTGTGGGATGAGGGCATTCCTTACTACCGTTTCCCTTGCCTGTTGATGTGCATACTATGGGAGGTCTCTTGGGGAAGGGCCGGTTTTGTTTGATGATTTGAATTTTCATGACGCACATGCTGTAATGACGAGCCATCAAGACTTTATATCTTCACCACGATGCGGGTGTAATTAATATGCAATACAAGGCGGCCACAACTGGCAAAAGGCAGATCATGTTCCAGTGTCAGTTTTGCTCAACATCGTCGCTTCCTAAGAACATACTGGCTCATTTTGAACATGTTAGTCTAGGGAATTTGAGTAGACTAGCCGTGTCTTGTGATGAGCATTTGAGATCTGAGAGGATTTAGAGTCACCGAGTCTAGTGCCTAGCGGCCACATGCCTCAGATCTAGACACGGCATCTACCGTGATGAGAATCCAGAATGAGCTCGATGGTTCATTTCAGCCCTGTGCACTACTTCGCAGCCCGCGGGTTGATGTGACCGGGGTAACGAGAAGACAGCATTTGATAGGGCTCATAAGGACAATATTGAGTGGAACACCTTCACATGTCCCCGGTTATGTAATGCACGTCCAAGGTAGTAGGTACCTAGTCTGCCTTACAGGAAACAAGATCCTCGAGGTTGTTTTCGCACTGACCTCACGGGGTAAAAAGCAGAGCGCTAGTTCCTTTCATTTCATGTTTCCATCCTTCCCTCCGATACAACATCGGCCCTACGTTAGCTGCGAAGAAACATCGTATTCCACGAAACCATCCGACCACCACTCGGTCCGCCAACGCAACGTCCCAGGGCAATGAGCGGGCAACCCACCTTGACCAGCAGGCCTCCTTTGGTTTGATTTGGGGGTTTTCTTTGTGGCCACAAATAGCACACACACAAGCTCGAGGCATGACCATGGATGGCCGCCGCCGTCGCGGTGCCATCGCCGTCTACCCGCTTGCCTAGAAGTCTAGGTAGAGCGGTCACGGCCATCGCCTTCAACCAACGACGCTAGCGACAACAGAAACCAAGAGCGAATGGATGGCCGCCGCATCCGGACAGGTTGGGGTGTCATTACCCAACCCAAAATCGCCCGTTTTGGGTCAAGTTTCTTCTCAGATCATCACCGTCACCTAGCCTTCCCGCTCAGTCCCTGACGGAGGGATCGTCTCTCCAGCTTTATTGTCCTGTCCATAGAGTGGAGGCCGCCCTCGATGATACCTAGGTGCCTACAGCCTACTCCGTAGGTACGGAGTCACTGTGCTACCTCAAACCTGCGCCGCCGTCGCAGTCCCTGCAGATGATGGACTCGAACTTTCCCAGGACGTTTTCTTTCCAAATCTTTGGCGGTCTTGGCTGATGGTGCCCAGTGGCGCCGCTAGCATCGTCAGGAGAACCCGTCGCCGTTTCCGTGAAGGATCGGTCGCTTTGCTCTTTACCTTTGACAACTTGAATTAGGTTTTGATCCACGTTACCTACCTGTCCCTCGCCATCTCACTCCTCACCCTTTTAGAATCCTCGATCCGGGGGGCTGCCATCTCTCGGGTGAGGCGAGGGCCTGGCCATCTAGTGGCTGGATGGGCATCCGGAAGGGAAAAAGAAGCACTTGCGCACGCACGATCCCGTCTCACATTCCGGTGCACCGTGGCAGGGGACAACCTCCAAAGCGACGTCGCCTTTGACTACGGCCCACGGGGTCAAGACAACCACTCGGACGATTTTGTCGATCACTCTTTAATAAATCGTCCAATATCCCGCCTGCTTCTGCATCTGCTTCCCCAGACTCTTGATTGCAGCATTCCTGACAGAGCCGCAACCCCAACCGCCAAGCCACACACGGACAAGCAGCAGCAGCAGCAAGCGGAATCATGTCTTTCAGACGGGCACCTCTCGTGAGCCTCGCTCTCACGCTGTTGCCGTTGGTCATGGCCGATGACCACCCCTATGTCGCCGATTCAGTATGCGACTGCTACTTGACCAACACATCAGAGAGCTACTTCAGCAACCACCTGTTCTTCGACTTCCGCAACCTTGGCCAATACGCCGGGGTCCCAGATGCCCTCACGGACTGGGATGCGAGCGCCAACGCAAACACAACATCCGACTACTTCAACACAGACGCATGGAACGCGATATGGGGCATTCAGAACTGGAATAACACAGATCGCAAGGGCAAAGACGGCAACGACGCCACGGTCAACATGGTCAACTCGCCAAACAACATTTACATTGAAAAGAACAACGACAAGGACGCCACCTCGGACACGTTCATGAGCATGCGCACCGTCCGCTTCGAAGACTTCCAGTCCTCGGCCGAGATGGAGTCCGTCTCCATGGGCTACCACTTCGTCTCGGTCCGCATGCTCGCCCGCACCCTCGGCGACCCGGGCGCCTGCACGGCGCTCTTCACTTACCGCGAGGCCGACAAGTACGCCAACGTGCAGGAGGCCGACATCGAGGTGCTCACCAAGGACCCGGACGACCGCATCCAGTACACCAACCAGCCGTCGTTCGACTCGAGCGGCAACACCATCGACAAGTCGACGCAGAACGGTACCATGCCCAAGGGCACTTCGTGGCGCGACTGGGCCGTCCACCGCCTGGACTGGGACGCGAAGGATAGCACCTGGCTCGTCGACGGCTCCGAGGTGTCGAGCATCTCCTTTCAGGTGCCCCGCGACCCCAGCCGCGTCATGCTCAACTCGTGGAGCGACGGCGGTTCGTGGTCTGGCGTCATGGAGGTCGGGCACTCGGCCGTCATGCAGATCCAGTGGATCGAGATGGTTTTCAACTCCACGGAATCGTCTTCGAAGCGCGACGTCCTCGATAACAGCTACCACCAGGCCGGTCTCGGTCCTAGGGGTAACCTGGAGCGCCGCCGCGGCGAGGGCAAGTGCCAGATTGTGTGCAGCATCGACTCGTCAAACACCATTGGCGCAGCGGTGATGCTGCACAACGGTACGGCGCCCGGGCAGCTCCTGGGACAGTCGAGCGCCATGGCTTTCTGGGTGCCTGTGGCCTTGATGTCGGCCATGTTCTACCAGCTGTGGGCGTGATTGTGATTCACAGTCGAGGCGAGACGGGGGGTGTTTGCATCTGATTTAAGCCAGCATAGCAACGGGGTTCAAATATGGGATTTGTCTACTTAGCATCCTACAATGAAATACATTTTCAAGCTTACTCGATTTATGACCACTGCGATATCTCTGCCATGTGAAGTTATATTTGGGTACCAAAGTCAGCTACGAGCTTTTAGGTTGGGGTGGTCGGATCAAGCATTCAGAGCTCGACCCCTGTAAACCAGCACCAACGCGCGCCGCGACGTGCCTTGTACAGTGGGACACCCCCAGCACCCATGCGCCATGCCATGCCACCCACGGGCAGCCAGAGGATGCCACATGCCTCGGTCCCAATTGGATGTGGGACAATTGGGATGGATGGACCCTTGGCTGCAGCTCAACCTCCCTCAACAATCTTTCCCAGAAGCTTTGCATCCGCAAAAACACCCATTTCGCCAGCATCACCACCGGGTCCCGACACGAAACGATTCAAGCGCTCACCGCAAACGAAAGCTCGAATCACTACCCCCCAATCGCAAAGAACACAATGGCCGACGCAGCAACAGCAGCAGCGGCGAAGCCGCAAAGGCGGCAATCCTCCCCCCTCAAGAATGGCTACCTCATCGCCTACAACTTCGTCTCCGCCGTCGCCTGGGCCACTGTCCTCGGCCGCACCGTCGCGCTCTTCTACCTCCGCGGGCCGCACTTTGTCCATCTCGGCGTCGGCGACTGGACGCGGTGGACGCAGACTATGGCTGCCATGGAGGTTCTGCACGCTCTGCTCGGTTCGTTTGGATCCCCCTTACACTCCCTTTCGTCTACTCTTTCTCTCTCTCCCATTCCAACAAAATCCGAGAAGATAGAGTAGGAGGAGTCTAAAACCAGGAAATACACGCTAACATACCACGTCCAAACAGGCGTCGTCCGCGCCCCCGTCTTCACGACCGTAATGCAAGTCCTGTCCCGCTTCGTCCTCGTCTGGGGCGTCGTCTACCCCTTCCCCTACCTCGCCCGCAGCCCCTGGTACTCGTCCATGCTGCTCGCCTGGAGCGTCACCGAGGTGATCCGCTACTCGTACTTCGCGCTCACCCTCAGCGGGTTCCAGCCCAAGTTTTTGACGTGGCTGCGGTACAATACCTTCTTCGTGCTGTACCCTATTGGTATCACGAGCGAGTGCGTGCTGATTTACTACGCTGCGACGCCGGCTCGGCAGTTTGGGGAGTTGGTGCCGTGGGTTTCGTATGCTATTCTTGCTGTTTATGTTCCTGGTATGTTTACCCCCACATTGTATGTCTGTGGCTACGACAGGGGAGTGCTGACGACGGATGACAGGATCGTATATTCTTTACACGTATATGATGAAGCAGAGGAGCAAGGTTATGCGCAACTTGAAGGCTGAGGAGGCGGGCCGATCCAAGACGCAGTAATTCTTCAACTGAAAGAAGGGGGAAGATGAGAATCCAAAATTTAGGTGGGGTATAAGGACTATATAATGGTCGGGGGTATGGTTATAGACAAAAATGAGAAAAAGAGGATGGGCGTCTACCAAAAATGCGTCCTTTCTCCGGCAGCCGTAATAATAAGAAACAAAAGGAATCATCACAACCTATGGTCTCAAGCGGTGGCGCTCTCACCCGCCTCCTTTATGACGAGTTTGTCTTCCTCACTGGACTCATACCACTCGTTCCGCGTCCACTGGGCGATGAGTGTTGCCGCGTCTTCCTTGAGTTTGTCGTACCCCGTGTTCATCTTGGGTTCGAACATGTCTAGCCTTCCGATTAGTACAGAACTCGAAACTTATCGTACCGTACCCCGCGTACCGAGGCTTCGGCAGTAAAAGGGGCTGCGGGAGGGGTTCAACTCACTCATATGCGCCTGCGTCTCCTCCGTAGCGACATCATTCACAGCCTGCTTCCACGTCCCACCATTGTCCCGCTTCGGCAGGTTACAAAACGTCCGGTCCCGGCCCAGCACCGTGCCGACGACGCTGACCTCTTTCGAGCCGGCGGCTTTACCGAGGCGGGTGTACAGGTTCGCGAAGCCCACGTCGAGCTCGCGGTTGAGCTTGACCATGTACTGCACCCTCTTCTGCAGCTCGGCGCCCTTTGCGAGACACCCCACGAACTCGAGGTGCGACGTCGCCCAGGTGAGGCCCTGGGTGATGTGTTCGCGGTTGTAGTACGCCGCTCCCGCGCTCGCTGCCACGGCGGCGGCGGAGCCTGCTACCATTGCGATCTTGCCCCATCCCCATCCACCGCCGCCTTGGGAGGAGTTTGCCGGAGGAGCAGGTAGCGCAGCGACGGGGGCTTTGTTTCGTGAAGGTTGAGAAGTAGCTTGCTTCGCGCCCCAGAGCGCGGTGCCGAGGCCGCTGAGCTGCGTCATGGCGGCGTTGGCGGTGTTGTAGTGGCCCTCTGCGCCGTGGGCGACGACGCCAGGGGAGATGCCCAGGTAGGGCGTGTCGAAGGCGATGACGCCCTGGATGTAGGGGAACATGAGGCTGTTGAAGGTTGCGGTGGACGAGTCCGCCGCCTTTTCGACGCCGTCTTCCGAGTAGATTGGCTTTTCCGAGGTGAGGCCTATGACGGTCTCGGCGGCGACGATGCCGCCCATGGAGTGGCCTGCTAGTACGACGCGGACGGAGGGGTCTACTGTTGGCGAGGGGGTGTTGTTTGCGACTTCTAGGTCGATTACTTTTTCGAGGAGCCTGGTGGGGCGTCAGCGGATGAGCTGTCTCGGCCGTGGTGGGAATGGAGGATTACCAGTCGCGGAAGCGGCTCACGCAGTCTCCTAGATCGCCGCGCGTCTCGTATTTGGGATAGACGAGGACGTTTACGTTTATTTTTGGGAGGAGGGCGGCGAGGTCTGCTCGGAGTTGAGCTGTGAAGCCTTCCTTGTCGCCAAAGGTGTCGTCACCTCCCTGTGCGGAACGTTAGGGACCGGAAGTCATTAGAATGAGCATGGTCTAACGTACCTTGAACCCGTGGATGAAAACTATGAGTAATGTCTTCTTCATATTGTCTTTCCGTTGTAAGTTGCATGAGTGAGAACGAGGCGTTGGATGCGATGTCGTTGATGAAGCTTAGAGCTCGGAGCTTGACGTCTGTGTACAGTGTTAGGACAGTGCGCATGTACATGGTACCTGGAGTACACAGAATGCCCCGCCTTGCCACCCCCACCATGTGACAACATCCCTCCCTTATAACTCCCTCGAGGGAAAAGCAACCTCCTCTGTCTTACACGGAATGACTGAACTTTTCACACGACCACCATAGCCCATGACGACTCTACACAAGAACATCAATCAAGTCTTTTGAGCCAGAAGCCTAAAATGGACAGCCTTCTCCTTACCTATCATTCTGCTAACTTGAACCCGACGACTGTCGCGTTGGAAGTGCTCATTGGTCCACAGATATGCAGGCAACCAACAATGCTTGCTCGCTGCAGTCTGTGAGGCTGGGCGAGCTGCATGATCTCACGCGGGGTTGGTCCAACCTGGGATTATCGGCGGCTAGATGAACAGGCTCATGCCGTGGTCAGTCTCTGTCAACGCGCAACTCTCTGTGAACACACATTCTTCCATCAACTCGTACACCAACTTGTAAATCAGCGTGAATATCACCACATATCTGTGACAACATGCGACTCCTTAACGTCGAAACGAGAAAGCTACAAGAATTCGTCGTCAGTGTACCAAAGTATGCGATATTGTCACACACCTGGGGCGACGACGAGGTCACCTTCCAAGACCTCGAACACCCTAACCACACCAAGAAGCGAGGCTACACCAAAATCGATGGTCTCTGCTGCTTAGCAGCCAAAAACGGGTTTGAATGGGTATGGGTAGACACCTGTTGCATCGACAAGACGAGCAGCGCTGAGCTCTCCGAGGCTATCAACTCGATGTATCGGTGGTACAAAGATGCCTCCACCTGTTATGCCTACCTCGAAGACATTCAGCCAGACAAGTGCCCAATTTACGCCGAAGATGAAAACCCGCGCAAGAACATGAACGGTGATGACGACGACTGGTCATCAAACAATTGCGACTACCCAGAGGCATTTTTCAGCCACTTTCGAAACAGCCGGTGGTTCACGAGAGGCTGGACGTTGCAGGAGCTGCTCGCTCCCGAAAGCCTCTACTTCTTTAATGCTGCCTGGAAGAGATTCGGTACACGCTCCTCACTGGCGCACAGGATCGAGTCCGTTACCAGTATACCGGTCAGATTCCTGAGAAAGCATCCCTACCCCGATTTCCGCTCCGCTAGGGTCGCTGTGCGCATGTCGTGGGCCGCTCGGAGGCAAACGACGAGGGTGGAGGATGGAGCGTACTGTCTCCTTGGAATCTTCGATGTGAACATGCCCCTGCTCTATGGCGAGGGGGAAAGGGCTTTTGAAAGACTGCAACTCGAGATTCTGAAGGGGTCTCCCGACGAATCAATGCTCGCGTGGAGGTTACCTTGCGAGCTTGGATCGCTCATTTGCCTCAATTACCTCGAGGATCGAGTCCCGAAGAACCTTGATCGTAGCAGGTTGTTGGCCTCGAGCCCTCAAGAATTTGCCTGGTGGTTTGGCACTGATATCAAGGCATTCTACGAGACAGAAAACTCAATCATTGAGATGACAAGTCGCGGTCTGCGTATTACGCTTCCTATCGTCGAAGGCCGTATTTATTCGTATGGTGTGTTGAATCATATGACGGACAATACGTTTGACAAGATTCTTGCCATAAGACTGGAAAACACCAATGCCGCTGATGAGTATCAAAACGCTGGCCTGGTCACATTATCCTGGCAAATTGTAAAGAAATGTCAGAAGAAAGATATCCACATCGTCAAGCGTGCACGGGTTTACATCGGCAGAAACATTGGTTGGGATATTGATTACCTACATAAATGGACCCGTCTTCAACCACCACACAGCATTTTTGAACGCTTGGTGGACGTGATCCCAAAGCATTCTTATAACAAGGAATATAGTTGCGTGACTCCGTGGTGGTGGAAGGATCTCAAGACAGGAAAAATTGGAGGAATGGGGCGAATTTTCCTCCATTACAAGCAAAATTCGGTGGACGACAAGCAAGATCACGACGGTAATGGAGAGGAATTCGTCGTTATCTTAAGCCCAACGAGTGCGTTCGGCGCCTTCTTCTCTTTCGGCGTAACACCTCCGCCATTTGTCTGCCACACGTTGCCCATGCTCAAAGGAGAGAAACTCGAGCACTTTCTATCACGCGATGAATATTGCCACATATATGCAACACCACCTGGCGAAGACTATCACGACTTATCAAAGCTCAGAAACAGGTTTTCACTGGAGTCTGGCGTTCCTCGGGCCCGGATTCAACGAGAGAAAAAAATCGATTGTGACCACTGGGTCGTGAGTGTTCATCGCACACGGTCGTTGGCTGAATATGCTGGGTCCATCGCCAAGCCGATCACGAATTTGCGCCCGCTCTCGGGGCCGCGATGGTTTCGTGAGTTCCGCCGTGAGTTCCGCCACGACCCCTTATTCTACGTGAACGACCTGCTGCTCGGCCTCGTCCCTGTCGTCACCTGGGGACTGAATAGCAAAAGACGCCGCATATCCGGGAGCTGGAAGGAGGCTACCACGTGTGGGGTCCTGTCACTCCTCCTCTTCCTCCTTCGCTACAAAGCCCACCTTGCAATCCTATCTCAGGGGCGGCCGTGGCCGCGGCTGATCTCTCCGAGGCTTGCTTTAGCTGGCTTTTATCACCAAGTAATCTACGTGCCCTTCGCGTTGTGGTTTCCCCTTGCAATGTACACGTTGTTCCCTCGGTCCCGCAAGGAGGTCAAAGTCAACCCGCTTGTTTCGGTGTTGAGCTCGTTGGCGATTGTCATACTGGCGAGGCGTGTGCAAAAGTTCTTGTAGGATGTGGGTGAGATTCTGCGAGAGGATATGTGGGAACATTCATTGGTGACGCAGAGATAGTCATGCTGCATGCAGACGCCATCTCTTGATATGCCATGTTGTGTCGTTCGGTTTTGATGTGAAATGATTAGGTTGCGTTATAGATGCATTTCGATAATATTCTAGCTTCTCCGATCTCCTCCAACTTTATCACAAAACTTCCATCCCCATTGTGCCGAAGTAGTGCAATCTGTTGCCCTAGCCTAGTCATAATCACTCCATATAGCGAATGGTGCCATCGAAGGCAGTCTGTCCATGCTGAGGATGGTTTTGATTTTCCATCTCAAGTGCAGAGCTTGCGCCCCTGAACTTCGGTTCGAAGACACCGAGGCTCCCCTTCCCCTGTTAGTAGCCTTCGTGGGAACACTCTAAACTAAACTGCGAGAAGCCTCCGAAGGGGTATGATGCTCAAAGTGCCAGGCAAGACAGTTTAGCTCGCTTCTAGACATTAACTAGAAATTCTGGTTTGCTGTTCTCAACTACGCTAGTAGGTGGCCGTCAGCCTCTGCACGAGGTACTGCCCACTATTGATACCATCGTATTTCTTCTCCTCCTCCGTGGCGTACGTTCCTGGGATAGCCTCGATATGACTCTTGAAGTTGGGGTTGCAAAAGTACCTGTTCATCATCGTCAGCACGTCAAAAGCTTCAAGAACAGACAACACGGCCACTCACGCAATGCTGTAACGGGGAGGATACTCCTCCCCGTCCTCCGGCTTCCGCGGCGGCTCCACGACGCGGTGAATCGTGCTCTTGATAGTATCATTGCTCCACCGCGCAAGCAAATCCCCAGCATTTACAACAACCGTCCCAGGAATAGGCGTAGCATCCACGAATCGCCCATTCGGGCTCCGCACCTGTAGACCTCCACGATCATCCTGGAAAAGTAGCGTGATCGACCCGTAATCGCTGTGCTCTCCAGCGCGTACCTGACCCGGGTTCACCTTGAAGACGTTGGGGTCGACGGAAGGGTAATGCAGCAGACGCAGCGTGTTGTCCCCGACGTCGGTATACCCATCAAAGAACCGCTCGTCCTCCAGCCCCATACCCACCGCAATGGCGCGCATCACCTCGACGTGTAGCGCCTTGCACTGCCCAAAGAACTCAAGCATCTGCGTCTTGAATCCGGCCACGCGCTCGCCGTCCCGCTCGACGGGCCACTGGTTCGGATGGTCCGGCTCGCCGTCGCGGCCAATCTCAAACGACTCCTTGAGGTCCGGATTGCCCGCGCGCACCTTTTCGATTTCCTCGTTGGTGGTGAGGTTGCTGACCTTTTCGCGACCGGGCGCGGAGTAGCCGCGGTTGGCCTGCGGGGTGGTCCAGCCGAGGCCTTGCTTGACGGCGTCGGACTGGGAGAAGAAGTCTGCTGATTTGGCGAAGGTGGCGGCGCGGAGGTCCTGGCTGATGGGGACGTTTTGGAGGTAGATGAAGCCTGCGTTTTGGAAGCCGTCGAGGACCTGCTTTGCTGTTTCCTTGCGCTTCGCGGCGTCGCCGTTGAGGAAGGCTGAGAAGTCGATGAGCTTGATGTTTGGTGTTAGTTGGTGATGCTTGGGGCGATTATGATGGCATGTCACTGGTGTCACTCACGGGGATGAAGAGACCCTCCTTGTCTACTGCTGTAGCTGCCATGATGATCTAATTGCTGCTTTCTTCACTGAGTTAAGAGTGGATGTATGAGAGATTCAGAGATGAATGTGGTCAGTTGAGACTTGGGAGCATCACATGTATCAGGGTGAGGTGTAATCTCGAGTAAGAAGTCACGATAAGGTTCGTTACTAAATCCGTGCGGTACAGGTTCCGAGCGACTTATATCTATCCGTTGATACGGTAGGTTGTCCAAGTACCTTGTCGTTGGCGACTGGCGGCGGCCCAGCCAACCAGAGGCCGAGCATTAACATCGTAAGTTAACAGCCAACCACCGGCGCCGTCTAATCAGTTCCGGACGGGGCCAGGCGTTGCCCCTTGTTCATCCCCGGCCAGGACGGGGCATTACGGGGAGGGACTCAAGAGAGAACCCTTTAACAAGACCGGCTGGGTCCGCGGGTGCACGAGTGGGAAGTTCATCGGAGAGCTCCTACACGTTATACTTATGTGTAAGCAGTACCTCAGTGTCTCACACTGGAGAGGAGGGGGGAGAAGGAAAGTCTGACGATAAGAGGCCGGTCGTGCGTTAAAGGCCGGCGCGCGGAAAGACGATTGGAGATAACGGCGGGGTAAAGTAGAAAGATAATCGACAAGGGAAGGATTACCTTAGTACCTTACTTACCTTTGGAGACGCCCGCGTGTGGGGTTTTGCGAGGTATGCGGTGCATTGAGGCGCTTGCATATGAGGGGAACATGGATTGGAGGGGGAACCAGGCGTTGCGGGTCATGGCGACCTCATCACCTTCCTGGAAAGACGTAGTTTGTCGGGTAACTGGTACTTACCTTTTTAAAAGGAGGACGAGGGGCAACACAGCTTTGCTTGCTCCTGGGAAAGCTTCCAACTTGGAAACAGACCATAACATAACAAGATTGGCTTCTTTTCCTGTCCTTAGATTGCAGAAGAGATAAGCCGAGATCTCTCACCATCTCAGCTACAAGTGAGCCTCTTCATCTTGTAAGTCGACCCAGCATCATGCTTTGGAACCTCATAGCTGAACCACGGGTTAACGACAAGTAGATCAACGAACAAGACTGACTGTACTTTGGGCCATCTCAATGCCAGCCCCAAGTGAAGACGCAAGGCAGTAAAGGGACGTCGTCAGCTCGTCCGATTTCACAATGGCCTCATCCACAGCCATGACGGTGGTGGACGTCCACACCCACATGTACCCCCCGTCCTACGTCAAGATCCTCGAATCTAGGACCACCATTCCCGTCGTGCGCAGCTTCCCGCAAACACCAGACCCGCGCCTCATCCTCCTGGCCTCGGAGGAACAAGCCCTCGAGGAGGCTACCAAGGATCCTTCAGCGAAGCCTCCCGGCCGGCCGCTGACCTCTCACTACGCCTCGCTCGACCAAAAGGTTCACTTCATGGACACGCACAAGATTGACATCTCGGTTATCTCCTTGGCGAACCCGTGGCTCGACTTCATCGATGCCTCCGAGTCTGGCGCCATGGCCAAGGGCGTCAACGAGGAGTTCGACGGCATGTGCGCCGCGCACCCAGGCCGCCTCTTCTTCTTTGCTGCTCTTCCTCTGACAGCATCACTCGAGACCATCCTGGAAGCCATCAACCACGTCAAGGCGCTCAAATACTGCCGCGGCATCATCCTCGGCACCTCTGGGCTGGGCAAGGGCCTCGACGACCCGGACCTGCTACCCATCTTCAAGGCCATCGCCGCCGCCCGCTTGACCATCTTCCTGCACCCGCACTACGGCCTGCCCAACGACGTCTGGGGCCCTAGGGCGAGCAACGAATACGGCCACGTGCTGCCCCTGGCCCTGGGTTTCCCGATGGAGACTACCATCGCCGTGGCGCGCATGTACCTGGCTGGCGTCTTTGACGACGTGCCCGAGCTGCGCATGCTCCTGGCGCATAGCGGAGGCACGCTGCCTTTCCTGGCTGGACGAATCGAGAGCTGCATCATGCACGACGGGCAGCTGGTGCGCGAGGGCAAGGTCGGCAAGGGCCGCCGGACGATTTGGAACGTGCTCAAGGAGCAGATCTACCTCGATGCTGTCATTTACTCAGAGGTTGGGCTAAAGGCGGCCATCGATGCCAGTGGAGCGGATAGACTCATGTTTGGCACTGATCACCCCTTCTTCCCGCCATTGACCTCTGATGAGCAGGGCGAGTGGGAGAGTGTGAGCATGAATGCCGATGCCGTTGCTGTGGCGGTGGGTGAGGGAAGCGAGCAGGCCAAGGCCATCATGGGCGGCAATGCGGTTGAGATTTTGAGATTGAAGGTGGACTGAGAAAGTAGCTTTGAAATAAAATGAAAAGAAACTAGAAACGTATGAACGTCAATGGCAGATCTAAGTGCAATGAAGGTGAGCGAATCTCATATGAGAATTGGCTTGAGTGGATGAGCGAGGTTGACCGCTTTCCCAAACGAGCCAGTTTTGGTGGGACTCCCTTACACCGCCTGCCAAATTCCATCCCATCTACCACTTTCTGCAGGCATTTACTGAAAATATGGCAATTGGCCCCGCGGTAGAGCTTCATCCCGCATCTCATCACCTCATACTCAGATCCATCAATTCATCCGAATTCTACCTCTTCTTACTCGAGAAAACAGTCTGATCCTCATTACACGCCAATTCGTACCAGAATGGCGGCTGAAGTCCGCCGCTCCAACGGCACGCGCCTTGATGCGTCCCTCGGCATCACTGAGCGCATCGCGCCGAGTATGGTCGCTTGGACTGGAGACATGCGCAAAAGGTAAGTCCTTCTATCTGCCTATATGACTTCTCCTTTAACACAACCCTCAGATACACCGACTTCCAAGTCTACGAAATCAACAAAGATGGTTCCGTCCTTCACCTCACAGAAACTCGCCTTCCCCCGCCACCAAAGGAGAACACGCCGCCTCCACCAGCACCTCCTGCTCCTGCTGCTCCCGTAGTGGAAGAGAAGAAGGAAGAAGAGCCGAAACCAGAAGAGCCATCGCAAGATGCAGAAGCCGCCGAGAAGCCCGCCACGGTCATTCCAGAAGTCCCCGCCGAGGACATCGCCCTCCTCGCCTCTCTCACAAACGACGACTTCGCCAACCAGCTCGTGACCATTTACAAGATGATATCCGCCGACAAGACGGCAAAGACCGAGCCCGTCACATCCCCCGTCATGGACGACAAGGACAAGCGCTCCCAGCTCCACCAAAACGTCCGCCGCATCTTCAACACCACCATCGACACCACCACCGATCCCACAGGCGCCATCGTAGCCCGAGTCCCGCCCCCTCGCGGCAAGGGCAAGGGCATGCGCGGCGGCCGCGACAACAACAACAACAACAACCGCGAAAACAACAAGCAGAAGAAGAAGCAGCCCAAGGCCGTGGCCCCCGGCGAGGGCGAGTACCTCCACTTCACCCTCTACAAGGAGAACCGCGACACCATGGACGCCCTGCACCAAATCTCCAAGGCCCTCCGCATAAAACCCCAGGCCATCGGCACCGCAGGCACAAAAGACCGCCGCGCCGCCACGACGCAACGCTGCTCCGTCCGCGGCCAGCGCGCCGACGCCCTCCTCCGCGCCCGCCTCTTCGGCGTCACCGTCGGCGACTACCGCTACGCCCACTCGCCCATCCACCTCGGCGCCCACAGGGGCAACGAGTTCGTCATCGCCCTCAAAGACTGCCTCGTCGGCGGCAACCCCGACTTGCCCCCCGCCGACCGCTCCTCCCAGATCCGCGCCTCCGTCGAGGCCGCCATGGCGAGCATGCACAACCCGGGCTGGATAAACTATTTCGGCCACCAGCGATTCGGCACCCACGCCATCGGCACCCACGAGGTAGGCCGCCTCCTCCTGCAGGGCGACTTTGAAGCCGCCGTCAACGCGATCCTCTACTACGACGAGGCCATCGCCCAGCGCGCCCTCGCGGGCGAAGTCCCGGACCAAGGCCACGCCCGCGACGAGCTGAACCGCCACCGCGCCTGCAAGGTCTTCCGCGACGGCGGGTCCGCAGAGGAAGCCCTCTCCCACCTGCCCCGCCGCTTCTCCGCCGAGGCGAGCCTCATCCGCCACCTCGGCCGGTCCACCGCCCCGTCCCGACGAGACTTCACCGGCGCCCTCACGAGCATCACCCGCGGCCTGCGCAACATGTACCTCCACGCCTACCAGTCCTACGTCTGGAACCACGCCGCAAGCCACCGCTGGCGCCTCTACGGCAAGAACGTAGTCGAAGGCGACCTCGTCCTCGACTCTTCCTCCGCCGACGCAGATGCAGATGCAGACAACGAAGGAGGAGACGACGACGCAGACTCCTCCTCCGCCCCAGCCCGCGCCCTCACCGCCGAAGAAGCCGCCTCGGGAACCTACACCATCCATGACATCGTCCTCCCCTCCCCGGGCCACGCCGTCGCCTACCCGACCAACGCCATCGGCGAATTCTACACAATCTTCATGCGCGAAAACGGCGGCCTCGACCCGCACGACATGCTCCGCCGCCACCGCGAATTCAGCCTGCCGGGCGCGTACCGCAAGGTCGTCGTGCGCTTCCTCTCGGAACCCAGCTTCGAGGTCCGCGCCTACGAGGACGACGAGGAGCAGATGCACCCCACCGACATGGACCGTATCCGCGCCGCAGCCGGGCGTGGTGGGAACGGGAAGAAGCGGGGTCGCCCGGAGGATGAAAACGCCGAGGATCAAGATGCGGCGAAGAAGGTCAAGACCGAGACGGATGTAGCAGTGGCGGGAGTAGAGGGCGAGGCCAAGGCGGATGAGCCGATGCAAGACGCGCCGGCGCAGATCTCGGAATCGAAGCAGGAGCCGGTGCCGGAGAAGCAAGCGGAGACCACCGCCGCCGCTTCGAACGATACCACGTCGACCCCCGAAAAGACAAAGACGGCGGTCGTGGTCACATTCCAGCTCCCCAAGAGCGCCTACGCCACCGTCGCGCTGAGGGAACTGATGGGCGTCGACGAGTCCGAGGTCGCCGCGGCCCCTGCTGCTGTCCCTGCTGCTACTGCTGCTGTCATCACTGAAAGTACCGCTACCGCCACCGAGGCTGCCGGGGCACCAGATACTTCCGAGACTACGACTGCGGAATCATAAAACACCTTACTTCACAAAAGGGAAGATTAACGCAAAAAAACAAAAGGCATCACCGCTTCACGGCTCAAAAAGGTGATCTACTTGGCATGTAAATGGTTGTAGACTAGATACCCCCTCGGAGAGATTCGTTGAATCAAGCATATATATGTACAATGCCACCTGCAAGGCAAATCCTTCTCCTACCAAACCACCTCAGTCTGATTCCTCGGCCATAAAGAAAAAGGGTAAACCCCAATCAGCATTGGCATAATTTTTCTTTGTTTGTATTGCCCCAAACCGGACAGGCAATCGCTTGGATACACAATAATGCCTACAGTCTCCGCTGAATACCCGATCCGCCGCCGCCGCTTGTCCAAGTACATGTCTGCCTCCGCTACATATATCCAGAAAGTAAGTCTGACCCCCTGAAGGCGTAACATTGGCAATCCTGTGCCCGTAATGCCCTTCGCTTATTAAATCATGAAAAATGGCCTCCTTCTTCCGCTTGCTTCATCGCTAAAGAGTTGTCTCCCTTTGAACTCGGTTCTTTGTTCATGTTTCGCTTGTGGTGTGTTTGATGCTTTCCTCGGGAGCTGGCCCAGGTTGCCATGATCCTCCTGCCAAGGAGCAACAATGTACTTTTTGCTGCTTTGTGGTTGACGTGTCGCCGTGATTGCGCCGTATGGAACAATGTTACTGTCGTCACGACATTGTGGCTATCAGCCAATCATTGCTTGGTATCCCAGCCCCAAACCTGAGCCAGGTATTTGGCCATGTTGACACGCTTCGCGCGCATTTCCACCATCCACGGGTGCTCGAGCATCCGCCATGGGCTCGCTCGCCTTGTGGGTTCCTTCTCCAGGCTTTGATAGGTCAGTACATGATTTCATACTTCATACCAAATTCTCGTCACTTACCAGCACTCGATGAAATACTTGAAGTTGTCACTCCAGAAAATGTTGGCATCCGGCTCATCCTTGAGCTTTGGTATCGGCTGCCGCACAATGTAGGTGAGAAGGTCGATCAGCCCAGCTCGTGGCTGCATCTCTGTGCCGTCGGCCGGGAAGGGGAATCGATGTTGGGCCACTTCCAGCAGAGTTACGCCAGTCGACCATACGTCAGAGGTAATGGTGTAGGATTGGCCGGTGATGCGCTCGGGAGCCATGTAGTAGCTGGTGCCGATGAAGGTATTGGCTTCACCCTTAGTACCAAAGTCTCCTGAGACACCAAAGTCGCATAGCTTGACATCGCCATTCCTGCAGAGCAAAATGTTGGATGGCTTGATGTCTCGGTGAATAATACGCATGCCGTGCAAGTACGTCAGTCCCCGCAGAACGCCCTCGGAAATCTTGCCGAGAACCTTCTCGCCTGTCCGTCCACCGAGTTTCTTAACCTCCTTGTAAATACTGTCCAGGGAACCGCCTTCGCAAAACTCCATGGCGATTGAGATCGTGCCCGTAGTCGAGTCCTCAAAGGCGCCATAGTAACGGCAGATATGCTCCGACGCGCACTCTTTGTTGAAACCCAACTCGCGCACAATCTGCTTCTTAACGTCGGGATCGGGATTCGTGGTAATTACCTGGGCATGTTAGTCTCCAATTTTGTCGGTGTGGGAAATGAAGCGGTCGCACCTTGAGGGCGAATGTGGTCTTTCCACCCTTCAATTTGGCTTTTGTGACGGCTCCGCCGGCACCCTCGCCGAGACTGCCGAGCTCCTCGATCCGATTTTCCATACTCGCGACCCTCCACGACTCGGAGTCAAGCTCCTCCACATCCAGCGTCCTGCCCCGCTCTAATGACAGCTTGTCAAAAGCTTCTAGACCCTGCAAACTGCCGTCCCGTTCCATACCGACACCGCCTTCGCTCCGCTCAGAGTAAATTGATCCCACCGCGGACGACGGGTCGGGAGTGCCTTGAGGCCTCGCAAAGCCATATTGTGAGGCAAAGGACAGTGCCGAGTACTGAGAGCCAGCTGACGTAGGGTTGCTAGCTCGACCATCCAGAGGGCCGAAGCTTCCAGATCTCGAGTGTGCCGCACTGCTCTCGCTACCGCCGCTGGCAGATTGTCCTACGCCTCCCACGCGAGGTGGTTGCTCGTAAGGTGTTGACTGACTGCCCATCGGCGTGGCCAGGTGGAGGGTCGGGAGAGGTGGTCGTGAGTTTACGGCTTGAGGTGCTTGTCCGCCGACGGGTTTCGCATTTGGTGATGGAGGGATGGCGAGACCGAGTCTAGGTGTTCGGGCACCTCCGCCTCGGCCGCCGGGAATGGCAGGGCGAAGGAGAGGAACTGGCGAGTTCATCATGGGGACGGAACCAGGCGTGGACAGAGGAGAGGGGACGCTCGGCGGTGCCTACGTGAAATAATGAGTACGATTCGCTACAGAGGCCATCTCAAGAGCTCATCAGGCGAGCATGCTTACCTGGTGAGGAGGCTCCATGGTCTGAGGTTGTGAGGGATTCTGATCGGCCATGGCAACGGAGGTAAGTTGGGTAGACCGGAACGATGCGGTTGAAGCTGGAGAGAGTTGTACCCCAGACGTAGGATGCCAAAAAGTCGCAAAAAAGGGCCGAAGCCAAGCCAAACTACTTGACGAGGTAAGTCGAGGTGTGACGGCTGCGGCACTGGGCACAGGCAGAAAGACAGAAACTAGCGTGGTCGAATAGTTTCGTAGGAGCTGACGTAGCGTAGATCAAGTTGGAGAGCGACGGCCGCCGAGCGTTTGATCCTCTGGTTCGAGGCTGAGTAAATAATAAGACTATCGGGGACGTTTTGTTGAAGATCAGAAGGCTTGGAAGCGAGAGACTGGAAAGTAAAACGTCGGCAAATAGCTTTCCCCGCAGGATTCAGAAGATGGATATTGAGGTGGGAGAGAGAGAGTAGATTTGGGGTGCGCGGGTGACGTTCCAGTACCCAAGGTAAGATGAGCAGAGGCGATATGGATCGAGGTGGTAGTTGGTGGTCTGTATCGGGACCGGGGGACGGAAGAAGGAGGTTTCCTGCTGTTTCTCTTCGGGGTGAAGGGACCGGCTTTGAGGTTTGAGCAGACCGGAGAGAGAGAGGGGGGAGCAATGCAATAGCAAACGACAACGACGCAGTGGCGACGGGCGAGCCCTTAGACCTTGGTTCCTTTTGAGAAAGACGACAGGAAAGTGAGTGAATGGAGTGGGATTCAAGTGGGCAAAAAAGGCGGGGAGCGGCGGGACGGGGACGAGCTTGGGCGCTAATTCCAAGGCCAAGTTCCAATGGAAAACGGGGAGGGGGCTCTGGGTAAACTGGGGGCCTTTTTCAGGGCCTGATGATTGAATGCACTGGGTGACTGCCCTGAGGTGAGGTAGGTGGAGGTAAAGGCAAGGTATTGAGATGGGAGGAGGTACGAGGCCCACGTAATGGAGCTAATGTATCTTTTCGGGATGTGGCACTTGATGTGTGGTGCAAACTGCGGGACAGCTACATAAAGCGGCCGGGCTTGAGCCATCGTTCTCTTGTACCTTTTCGATACTGTAAACCACCTCACCTCCTGGTAGCGAACTACCCTCCCAAGGTAGGTACCTAGGTAGGTAGGTAAGTAGGTAGGTACGTGGGTAAGGTACCTACAGCTTGCCTTACTAAGGTACCTGTGGTAAGTACTGCCCGCCTTACACTCTTTCATCCGTCTTGCCTCATCTTGCACCTACACGAACGACAGAACAGCACCGACAACAACAAAAAGTCAATCAGCATATCAATCGAAGCTGCGCCGAAAACCAAAGTGCGCTCGGTCGCTTCTTTTAAACCCTTCCAGCGTCTTGGGGCAGAAAAACGCGCCACCATACGGGCGTCCCTTGCGTCGTCTGAGGTTCTGGCCCTCCCCAGTTGGGTATCTTCTAGCAAGAGAATCAGCCCTGGGGTCTGGACTCTGGAGTCTGAATTGGGTTGGAGACGACAATGGTCTCCGTTTGTACGCTTCGACCGATACAACTTCGAGGCTGTCCGATCCACTGCACAAGAGTCAGTCACCATCAACTCGCTTCTGTGCGCCTGTGTTTATCCGCACAATCCTCGAATAAGGACTGTTTGGCGGAAGACAAAGCCAATGCCGCTGTTCCGAATCGACCGTTGCAAGGCACCCGTCATCAGGACGCGTGTTTAACCAAGAATCAAGAAATGTATACACCTCGTCACCGCCCAACACAAACAAACCCGACACAGTACACCACCTCCAGACACTCACGCTCTCCAGCACAAAGCACGGTGTGATGAGTGGGCTTCCAACCGTCACCACAGAGAGCAGCTCTGCCCACTCGGAACGCCCATCTCCTGGCGCTGCACAATGGACAATGGGCAGACGCCTGACCAGTTACACACATCCGTACGGCGACCAAGTTTGAGAGGGCGTCCAGAGCCATGGGGGGCATGAGAGATGAGACAGGGGTTGCGCTGTCGTTGGTGGTGTGTCGTCCATGTCTTGGGCTGCCATTCGATGCCCTGCCCTGCCATCGCTCCTTGCGGGTTGCTCCCCCCTCTTGGCCCTCTCCCCGACCAAGCACCAAGCATCTCTTCGTGCCATCGTGGGCATGCCGCACGCCGCACGTCGCACCGTCGCACGCACCAAGCTGGGCCCTGCACTGATTTCCGACCGTCTTCTGCATGGGCTCGAGATGCACAATCCGGGAGACGTCCCCGATGCAACCTGACTCTTCTGTCCTTCCAGGGCGATGGACTGTCTGATGGGTGGGACGCAATTGTTTGACGGATTTGAGAAACTGTCGGGCCCTATCCGTTGCTCTACTCGCTCTCTCCGCGGGATTGGCCATTGCTTTTCTCTCTAGGTATCCGACAACCCCTCGGTTGACCATGAATTCTAGCTGGTCTCGGGCCAATAGCTGGTGGGAATACTGAGCCAACGACACTCATCCCGTCACATTCACATCCTCACACCATCACCGCGGGGTCCCCTACATGACTGCAGGATCGAAGGACAGATTAATGCGGGCTTTCGGCAACCAATCTCCATCCGTCCAATTCCTACATGAGAGGTCGGTGTGTCGATGAAACTTGCATAAGCCATTTGACAGCGCCGTTTTGGCTGAAATGGGGGGCTTTTCCGGCGGCAGCATCTGAAGGAGAGAAGAAGAAGAAACGGGGGCAGCACACGGAGCTCCTTTCGGCACATGCTGTCGAAAGTGGCTCCTGTATACGGCACACATTGACACAGCACATCTGCCGCGGCTTCCAAATCTTTTGGCATTACGACCCAACGGCGTCGGCATTGCAGTCCGTTTGAGCAATTCCAGTCAGCTGATTGCAGACCCAGGCGTCGAAATGGTGGTTGCAGACATGCCCTTCTTATTGCTGTGCCTCTTCCACCGGCGATGCGGCACGAATAGGATGGTTCCCCGATGAGGGGAAAAGCATTTGCAGACAAGCAGCACGCACGACCATTGGGGTCCGAATCACGGGAAGAGTTTTGTTCGGTTATTGCCCCTTTCTCACCATCCTACCTTGTGGCCGGTCCGACGACGGCGATGAGCCGACAAGCGGTTAAGGTGATGATGACTGTGGTGTTTGACGGGCCACGGATTCGAGGCCTCACCGCATTATCCGCACCACTGGACCTGGACCCTGATCAGACGAAGGCCCGGTTTTTCGAGGCCCTGCCCCAAAACACCTACGTGGTGTATCGCAGTTGCATCGTCTTGGTCGGGGGATTTCCGATGCCCACTTTGCCAGCCTGGAACGCGTGCGGCGTGCCTGACTAGTCGCACCTCTCGAGTACCCGGCAAGAGAGTGAGGCAAGATGGAAGCAAAACTTGAAGGCAGGCTTACGGGGTAAGTTCTGCTGACGTTGTCCGGCTATGACAATTCGTCTGTCAAATCCGGGCTATTGGGTCCTAGCTGTGAGGTCAAGTCAGAACCAGCGGTATGTCAGACGGGCACGTCCGAGATGGAGAAAAATCATCCGAGTCCATCTTATTGAGTTCAGTACCGCTGGCCTCTATGCTTCTGCCAGTCAGGAAACGACATCCGGCTTCGATTTGGCTTTTCAACCCCTCACTATGTTCTCCGTGGGCGTTCTTCACATCCAGTGCCCGTCAGAATCGGATTAATCATCCGACAGGCCATAGAGCAGACACGGAGAAAGCAAAGCGGGCGAGTGTCTGCTCGACTTGTGCTCGTCGGTGTCCGAGGCTCCTGCTCATGCACCAGCATCTGCATTCGTTCCAGGAACAGATCCCTGGATCCCGCCAAGGGGCACAAGGCGGAAACTGCGTCTATGCTGGCCCCATCCCTGGGCGGGAAGCAACGTTATGCTGTCATCAGCCTCAGCCCTGAAAGTTTCCGGGCCTCTGTGGCTCTTCTGCATCGAGCATGGTCCTGGCTGGACACTCCAACATCGGCTCGACTCATCTTGGAAAGGCGCTGGATTTATGCTTTCTTTCTCTCTGCCCGATGCACAGATGGTTGAGTCGGAGGGGGAAAGTTGTCGTTGCCTACGGATGAAATATGCAGTCTAGAGATGACAGATGTGTGAAGTTTGACCGTGCCCAGTCCACGTAGATGCATTCTGCTATTACACACTACCATGAAATGCAGGCTCACATACTCACCAACCGCCGCTCCCCAACGGCTACCTTTATGATGAATAGATTCATCTGGTATTGTCACCAAGGCCTGTCTCGTAGCGGAGAATGTTGGCGAACTTGAACGAATAATTCCGCACACATAGGTCCCGGGTGCGAGTCCCGTCTTGTTCTTGTAAAAATCCTTGCATCGTTACACCTGAGGCTGATAAGAGTCTCCTCGGATTTTTCGTAGGCTCCATATGATAGGGAGCTGAGCTTTTGTTTTGGCCACTGAATGAACGATGGATAGATGATACCTCAACTTTGTCGGCTTAGTTACGTATTCTCGCTTGCTGTTCTCTTACTGGCCAATTTGCCCCGTCACTCGCGCCGTTTGAGTCCCCGGTCACTCACTAAGGTCACTCACTAAGGCACTGTAACTGCGTAGCTCCGTTTCTCTAGGCGCGCGTCTACCGTCTCAATGCGGAGCCCTGACACTGACCGCCTTCCATTCCAATTGGTCTGCCCCACGCCAGAGCCCCCTGCACCATTCACCCCACCAGCCCGCCGCGCCGAAGCTTTGGCACTTTGCAACCAAAAACTTTTTGGACCCTTGCCCGAAAATTCTCAGACGTTGATGCAGTTGCTGCAGTCGAGCCCATCACCATCACAAACTTTATGCTACAAGTCTCAGGTCCACGGCCAAATCGCGTCACAACCGGCATAAATCAGAACAGAGACTGATCGCCCTCAATGCCGTCCTCTGCGACCTCCAGACGACCGGGCCGTGTGGCCGAAGATGAGGTCCCGGCATCCTCTCCCGCCAACTCTTCCGGCTCCGAGTCCGAATCCGACTACCTCGACAGTCCCGCCTCGCGCAAGAGACGGAGGACCGACCCCACTGCCGAGCCCGATCTCGAAGATATCGAGAACGATGATGACGACGACGAGGAGGAAGAGCTCAAGGCCGTCGTATCCACCATCCAAGCACCCTCAAGATTCAAGCGCGCGGCCGCCGCTATCGACCAAGCTCCCCAGACCTCACGCCCAGCAGCGCCGTCGCAAAACACAATCACTGCGCCAACAGACCCCAACACCACCTTCTCCGCCATCAACGTGCGGCCATGGCTCGTACAGTCCCTGGCCAACATGGCAATCAAGAGACCGACGGGCATTCAAAAGGGCTGCATACCAGAGATCCTCAAGGGGCGGGACTGCATCGGCGGAAGCAGGACGGGTTCCGGTAAAACGGTCGCCTTCGCCGTGCCCATCCTCCAGAAATGGGCCGAGGATCCCACCGCCATCTTCGGCGTCGTCCTGACGCCCACCCGCGAGCTCGCCCTGCAGATATTCGAGCAGTTCAAGGCCATCTCCTCCCCGCAGAGCCTCAAGATCGTCCTCGTCACCGGCGGCTCCGACATGCGCTCCCAGGCCATCGCCCTCGCGCAACGTCCCCACGTCGTCATCGCCACTCCCGGTCGTCTGGCCGACCACATCCGCACGTCGGGCGAGGACACCATCTGCGGCCTCCGCCGCGTCAAATACGTCGTCCTCGACGAGGCCGACCGCCTCCTCGACGGCACCGGCCCGGGCAGCATGATCCCCGACGTGGAAGAGTGCCTCTCCGTCCTCCCGCCCTCCTCGAAGCGCCAGACTCTATTGTTCACCGCCACAATCACCCCCGAGGTCCGCGCCCTCAAAGACATGCCCCTGAAGCCCGGGAAACAGCCCGTCTTCGTCTGCGAGGTCGACACCCAGGCCCTCGCCATCCCCGCCACGCTCTCGCAGATGCACCTCCAGGTGCCCGTCACCCACCGCGAGCACTACCTGCACACCTTCCTCCTGACGGACGGCAACGAGGAGAAATCCGTCATCATCTTCTGCAACCGCACCAAGACGGCGGATTACCTGCACCACCTGCTGCGCATGCTCGACCACCGCGTCACCTCGCTGCACTCGGCCCTCCCGCAGCGCCAGCGCGTTGACAACCTGGGCCGCTTCCGCGCCGCGGCGGCGCGCATCCTCGTCGCGACGGACGTTGCGTCGAGAGGTCTGGATATCCCCGAGGTCGGGCTCGTCGTTAACTACGACATCCCGCGGAACCCGGACGACTATATCCACAGGGTCGGTCGTACGGCGCGTGCGGGGCGCAAGGGCGAGGCGGTGACGTTTGTCGGGCAGAGGGACGTCGAGCTCGTGTTGGCGATCGAGGCGCGCGTGGGCAGGGAGATGGAGGCGTGGAAGGAGGAAGGGGTGAACTTGGAGACGAGGGTGCTGCGGGACGCGCTCAAGATTGTGAGCGAGAAGAAGAGGGAGGCGTTGTTGGAGCTTGAGGAGGGGAGGGAGGTTGGTGGCAAGAGGAAGAGGACGAAGCAGAAGCTCAATGCGTGAGATTGTGGGGGAGGGGAGAAGGAAAAGTCACTTGCTGTTTGGAATGGGAATTTGCATACCGGCGTAGGTTTGATTTGTGTGGGATAGACAAAATAATACCCAATAGACAATAAAGTCTTCAAGAACTTCTGGCCACGATGGCCTCTGAGGAATGATGTTTAGTAGTCACCACAGCTTGAACTTGTTCGTTTCAGAAAGCTTGAGATAAACGGTGCCACCCACCAGCTCCAAGGCTCACCGATTCAAGACGACCAGCAAGCAGTATTAACGGAGAGCAATTGAGCCTCGTCACGTTCCGCTCACGTTCACTCCCCCCGAATCCCAAACCAATTGGTTCGGGAACCATTGTCCAACAATGCTCAATGGTCTTGTTATCCTGCCTTTGATGATAAAAACTTAAGTGATCTCGAGAAGCCCCGCATAGAGGATACTATCTATTCCACATCCTTGTTCACGCTCCCGTTCGTTCGTATTCGTGAGAGCAAAGTCAGGGAGCGCAAGGGAGCGGGATGGACGTGGTTAATAAATCCTACATCGTCGTTTATGCTTTCTCTCATATTCGTGAGTATAAATTAAGGGAGCATAAGGGAAGGAAAGGATGGAAGTAAGTGACTTACCCTATATCATCGCTTTTGCTCCTGTTCGTATACGTGAGAACTATGTAAAGGAGCGTGAGCGGGAATGGAAGTGAACTGCTTTGTTGTATGTGCGGGTGTGTTGGCCCCTCTGATCTAGATTTGCTTAGGGAATCTATCGAGGTTACTCAGACCCAATCTCCTCGGAGGGGCTTGGGGCATATAAATCAATGCGGTTGAAGACGCTACGAGCTTATGCTTAAGGTGAGAGAATGCTTGTCGATCCCTGGGTTTTAAATACATAAGACGTCCTCTCTGGCCGTAACCTAGCCAGCTGTCCCTCTCGGCCTAGACTACCTTCGGTCCCCCTTGGTGCAGGAGATGTCTGCCACGAGCATCACGATGTACGAGCTAGAAGACAGACTAAATGGGTACGGTAGGGTTTAGTTTGTACGTGCCGAGGCGTATAGTCTCTGGTTTCCTGATAGAGAAGGGGATCGGTCGGGGGTTCCTAACTCTGTATTCACGAATACGAACGGACGCAGAAATGACGATGCCGTGATAGATGATGCGAAAATGATGATCTTACATTCTGGCCGGTCTTTATTGTATGAGGGTCCTCAAGACCAACTGAGCTTTGTCACTCAAGGCAAGATAACAGGGTTCTTAAGTATTGTTAGACAAGGGTTTCTATACCAGCTGATCTGGTGGGAAGCATGACACTGGACGCGGAGCGGAGGCTCGATCGTTCTTCCTTTTATCATCGTCATTTTGAGGGGGAAAGCAGCCGTTTGGTATCTCAAAAACACACCACTTCTCCTATCTCCATGTCTCATGAGGATGGCCTTTGACGAGATGACCTTTTACCATTGCACATTACCAAGCCTTTTGGATCTAAATCTATCCCAGGTTTGGTGATGCCTTTGTGCTCACGGATCCTATTGCTTGCCACAAAGCATCTGCAATCGCTTGAAATGCATCATCAACGAGGTCTTCATATCAAGGATTTCAGCAGCGGCTTTTACAATGGCCATATCTGGGTAACCGTAGTGTAGCTAACATCGTTACAAGAGGCAAATAACAATTTGGCTGGCTACTTGACCACCGATCCAAGGAAGCATACACCACTGCCGGTAAAACGAGGATCATATCTCACTTCCACACCTCTCATCTCCTAGCGATAACCGAGGTGTCACAGGCTCTGCGATAGGAATCCCGACCTACCTTCACAATGACCATCGGCCGAGATGCACAGGCACGGACCTGGGGATGAGACCTTACACACAGAAGCACAAAAGCAGTAGTGTTCCCGACAACCAGGAACAACTGAACCAGAACACGGGACAAAAGTCAGCTAGCCTTGTGTACCAAAATAATCAACGGGTACACCGCAGGGAGGGAGGGAGAGTTCGGGGAGCCGGGCTGCTGTTCGGGTGCTTGACCTATCAGGAGACAGTTTGTTTACTTTCTTTCTCTTCTCTCTTTTTCTATTTCCACCTTCACACTTTCAATGTACACCGGCATTCCTTCTTTGTTATTTTACTTCTCTCAGACATTGAGCCGCGGCCCCGGAGCCAAATGAAGTGTAAAGACACGGGGCGCTCTGAAGCAAGACGTCTCATGTATCTAGAAGAAGAAAACATGATACCCGACATGGTCTTGATCCAGGTTCGCGGAGCAGCCCCGAATCAAAACCCAATCCACATTCCCCAAACCCATACCCCTGACAGCTGAGCCTCAGCTGAAAGCTCAGCCAAGCCAAAGTCGAAATCTATCCGGCCGCGCCGCGCGAGACCTCTCGGGATAGACATCTCTTCTGTACACCACATCAGGACATGAATCTGAGACCCGTGGGCTTGGTCAAGAATCTTTTCTTGAGATGGCAGACACGCAGACAAGTTTGAGGTTCAACAGCTTCCATCCCTTGCGTCAAATGTGGATCCCTCGTCCGTCCCGTGCGGCCCCCCCGGCGATCTCGAAACCGATGAAGAACAGCAACCATTCCGCAGACACGTTCGACAGCGGGAAGGCTCCCCGGCGTTGAAACGCAGTTCAGACGAGTCACAAATGATCGGGGTGGGTTCGGGAACGCTTCATGAACCACAGCAGTTTGGGAACAACAAATGTTCGTCACATCATCCGTCTCTGAACTAAAATCAGAGCCGCATGGATTTGGACTGGGACCTGGAGTCACGGCAGTTTCATCGGCGCCGGGCTTGGTGAGAGAGCATATCTCCGGCCCACCGCCCTGACTGTTCAATCACAAGCCCAGAGCAACAACACACCGCCGAGAAAAGACCACGGCCCTGCACCGAATCCCGTCCGGCGTCCGCTCTCTTTTCTCATCAGTCATCCATTCCCGTCCCATGGATGAAAGTTTACGTCCACACCCCCCTTTGCCTCAGATCCACATGCTTAGCAATTCCCATAATTCTCCACGTGGGCGTGTGGCTGAAGAGATTTCCAAGCAAGCAGAGAATCTAGACCATGGTAGAGAGAGGCCCCACATGATTGAGCGAAAATCGCGAACCAACTGGCAACGAGAAGAATCACTTGCAGCATTCTCGAGATGGGAAGAGTAAAAAAAAAGGGCAGAAAAAAAAAGGGTAGAAAAATTTCCCCTTGTCAATATCCACCGTGACCAACAGATCCACAATCAGTCACCAATGTAAGCTACTAACGCCTGCCCGATGGAAAGCGGTCCGGGTCTAGTTGACGTCAAGAATACGTGGAAAATGCCTGTGAAGAAGGAAAGAGGACAAGAAAATTTTCTCCATCCTAGCCTCGAGGATACCTGAAGCCCACTTGGTGTTCGGTTGTCTTTTCAAGATCCACCAGTTGACTACCCGCGCAGCCCAACTCCCAACGAACGAAAGGAGTGAAAACTTCGTCGCGTGGCTCTGAATCTCCGCGTCCTGGGCCATTGTCCTCTCTGGTTGGACGCCGTGGAGTTGTGTGCCTGAAGGCTCTGACAATTGACAGCCATGAGCCCTGTCGCACATCAGCCCTGGCAGCCCACAACCTCTCACACGATGGCACCGTGGTCCATCAGGCTGATTGACAGGAGCAATGGAACACCGAGACGGCAAGCAAGGCTCCGCAGATGTGAAAATCAGGAGCGCAGAACCGCAGGACCCCTGTTTTCCACGCTAGAAGCACGCTAGAAGGTTATGAGATTCCGCGCACGGTCCACATGCAGTGGGACTCCGCCAAATGGAAGGGCGCTAGAAGGCCGGGAGAAGACCGCGATGTGACAGGGGTGTTGCGTTTGAAGAGTTTGAGAGGCTCTAACCCCCTTCTTCTGGACATATCTCGTTCTTATTTCCGTGGAGATGCGGTTCTTCCGCAAGGGGCATTCGAAAGGGCACCCTGTTTCTGGTCTGTCGTGCATATAGATATTAACCAGTGAGTCAGCATCACTATCGAACTTTCATTATTAACCCCGGCAGACGTACGAATACCCTGAGAAGATAACCCCGAAATGTCGGATCGAGTTGAACCCCAGCCATGAACGACGACATCGTGCAGCAATCCCGCACAGGAACTCCGTAAACTGCAGGGCGTCTTCGGTGCAAACCGAGAAGAAAGACAAGAAAACCCTCGCAAGCCACACCCTCGTACGGTACCCGGGGCCTTGTCCCAACTGGAAATCTCCATCACGGCGATATTCCGGCCGCACATCGCCGAACCGACTTTTTCTACGTCCACGGGTATTCAAATCTGCACCGGGGCAGGCTGCGGAGGCTTGGGAGGCTTGTTAGCGCCGCTGCAGGTTGAAGCACATCCAGCAGCCGTATAGGCAAAAGACTGCAAAGCCACAAAGCCTCGTCCGAGTCGCGTGGCACACACGCAGACGCGGGAGCGTAGAACATGCCTCAATAGTACATACATACATACATACTCAGCAAGAATCATCCGGTATGCGCGTCCCCTTTGACCAATGGTACCCACTGGCTGCGGTGGCACAAGCCACGAGCGGTGAGCATAACAGCCTCGTGAGATGCAATACGGTCGAGTACCTTAGGCAAAGTAAGCAAGCACCGCCTCACGTCTCATAGGACATCTCCGTGTGGAACTTGGGGGTTATGAAAGTACTATCGTGTTTCGTGCTCTCTGATTGGTGATGTGACGATTCACTGCGTGAGACTGTGAGCTATTGGATTCATTTGGACGGAGGATGCATGTCAGCGAGTGCGGAATGGTTGGCTGCTGCACAGCAAAAATCGACGCAGACACCCCGGCCGCATTCCGCGAGCGAGTCCGAGCTTTTCGCATACCCTCGCTCTCTTACGGGTATGGAGTACGATGCGGTACATAGGTACGGATTCTCTTTCGCATCGCACCCAGCCCTATCTGGTAGATAATCCAACCCTGCAGCTAGGGAATCGGCGAGTTGGCTGCTACGTTCCATTGCGTACGGCGGTG